GTGGGGACATCCAGCCAGGGAAGTAGGAAGGAGGCATCCGCCCAGGCCAGCCCTTCCCCCACCCACCCCCAGCCTTAACCTGGAGGAAAAACAAATGAGTCCTTTGGCCAGTGGGCGGGAAGGGGTGGAGAGAGAAGGGCGGGCCTCTGTTTGCAAGGAGTTTCTAGGTTAGCTGGGGGCCAGGCTTTGGGATTTCACCTGGAAATCACTCTGTAGGTGACACTCCTAACAGGGCTGCCAATAGGGTAGGCCTGGGTGCTGGGGGGGTGGGGGTGGGGGATGGGGATGGGGGTAGGGAGGGGGGAGGCTAGGCTCCCACAGCTCAGGCAGTTCAGGCCTTACCACAGGAACCCTCTTTTTCACTGGCTCAGGCCCAGCTGGCTCCTGCCTGAAGGCAGAAGGGCGGGCCAACTTTGGTTTGAACCTGCAGCCTTTAACTCAGCCTGGGGCGTGAAGCTCCAAATAAACCAGACTGATCTGGATTCAAATCCCAGTTCTTTAGTCCCATATAAACAGAATCTTCTTGGTTGCCTTTTTTTTTTTTTTTTTTTTTTTTGTGCCAGTCTTGGGGCTCAGGACTGTCCCTGGGCATTTTTTACTCAAAGCTAGCCCTCTACCACTTGAGCCACAGTTCTACTTCCAGCTTTTATCTATCTATCTATCTATCTATCTATCTATCTATCTATCTATCTATCTATCATGTTTAATTGAAGATTAGTCTCATTGGCTTTCTTGCCCAGGCTGGCTTGAAGCCTCAATATTCAGATCTCAACTTCCTGCATAGTTAGGAGCCTGTAATATTGATTTTTCAAGGGCTTCCTATGTACCCGGTGCTGGAGTTTGAGGTATGGAATACAGAGCTGGCATCTTCACACCTCCATGACACAACTGTTTCTGGGGAATGGACAAGGCAATGTCCAGAACCACAGGTCAGCCCTGGAGAGCTGATGGAGACTTTGGCCTCCAGGCTTGAAAGTTCTGGCAGCTCAACCAGAGTGGCACCTCCAGGAGCTAGCTTGTGGCTGTACCTAGGTCCTCACCCATCTATCTTGTCTACCCTGACCTCTGAGGAGAAGAGGCTGGGCCTTCTGTTCATTCCTCCTGTTTCTTCAAGGGGAATAGAGTCTGGTAAGTAGCATCGTGCTATGTTTCTCTGAGCCAGGCCTAGCTCACATGCCTCTACCCCTCTTTGTAAAATTATGTTGTATTATCTTTATTCAGCTTCTCTTGCAGCAAAACCTGTCCCTTTCTTTTGAGGGTCCAGTCCTACGGCTGTTGGGTCTCCAGGCACCCTCAGTTCCAATGTCCTGAGAAGCAGCCCCTAGAAGAGTTGATTCCCCACCCCTTAGGGGTGGTCTTATCCAGACAGAGGTTTCTCTTTGTGTATCTCAGCTGCCCTCAGGGGTGCATGGACCTTACATTTATCTTTAGGTTCTCCCAGGGGTTCCCCCAGCCTCTCTCTGCTTCTGCTCAGATCACACATCTCTGATCCAAAGCAGTGCTGGCTATATGATTTGCCCCAACTGATTGCCCAACAGTGTGAGCCTTTTATGGTCTCACTTGAGATGATACCAAGATGTTACTTTGTTCTGAGCTAGGAGGCAGTGATGCCCCCCACAGGGACCACCACACCTAGCCTCAGCCAGAAACGAATCCCACAGGTAGGCAGAGGTGGCAATAGCTAGAGACATTTGGATCAAATAACAAGGGCATAGAGGTGCTTTTCTGTGCCCACAGCATTGTTGGCTGGCATCAGGGATCTGGGCGGCGGCAGCTGGCTTTTAGGAGGAAGTCTTCTTGAAGGGGTGAGGATGGGGGTGGATTATTTACCTGCGATTTTCTGTCCACATTTGGGAATGTCTTTTAAAGGTCTCTCTACTCCTTGTGTAGGACAAAAGCAATGTTTGTGTCGAGATGTGACAGTGGCCTGTATCTTCTCTGAGCAAAGCACAGGGTGGCAGCTGGTAGGGCCAACAGGGTAACCCAAACCCAGAGACAAGGATAGGGGTGGAATGAAAGGCATGGCCCCATCAGATCCCAGTGCCTAGGTTTGCCATTCACAGCAGGTCTCCTGGGTCTTAACAGAGTACATGGTGCTAGGTGCCAGTGGCTTCACAAATTAGAAGCAAGAGATCTGAGGATTTCAGTTCAAACCCAGCCTGGGAAGGAAAGTCCGCAAGACTTGCTTGCGTGTACACACACAAAAGCTGGAAGTGGAACTGTGGCTCAAATGGTAGAGTGCTCGCCTTGAGCAAAAAAGCCTAGGGATAGTTCCTAGGCCCTGAGTTCAAGTCCCAGGACAGGCACAAGAAAACCTTCAACACAACAAAATAACCCAGACTGCATAGAGTGGGGCAGGGCCTATATATTAGCAGCAAAGAGAGCTGAGAAGATTCAGTCTCAGTTGGTTCCAGGAATGTGACCCTTGCCATGATCCTCTTCTCAAGGGTGAGCATGGGGCCTCTGCAGTTTCTTCTGCATAGTTAAGAAAGAGTATTAACACCAGGGGACAGGGAGGCCCCCAGAGACCAGCAGTGAAATGCTGTAGTGATGGACACAGAAAAGCTGGGGGCTGTGGATCTCCAGTCAGCTCTTGAACGTCAAAATTAAGAACTCACACTGATCCCACAGCTCCTTTTGCGTGTCCCTCTCAGTGGCCAGCTTTTGGCAGAAAGACATTTGGGTCTGTTCCAGGGAAGTGGGTCTGTTTGTGTCTTGGTGCTGGTGGCACCACACTTGTGAACTCTAGCAGCCTGAGTCACCACCACAGGGCAGGTTGAGAGCCTGAAGTTATGCCTAGTGGACAGGGAAGGAAGACAGAGCTCTGAGGTAAACTAAAGGTACGAAAGTTGACCAAGTGTAAGCCAGACAGAGACCTGACGGGGGACAAGCTCTGGCCACAATAGCTGAAGACTGAGACTTGATATCAGGCAGGGGAGACCAGGCAGAGTAGCTCTGACTGGGCCTCTGGGAGCTGGGCCTGGAAAGCTGCAGGTGAGCCTGCCCTCTCCTAGCACAGGCCAGCCTTCCTGACCCCCTCATCCCAGCTAGGACAAAACAGAGAGGCAGGGGTTGGCCTTGGTTTAGGAGCCAAAGTGTTCGAAGAAGGTCCTGGTCATGAGCTGCCTGGGGGTCAGTTGTGGCCACTCTGGAGTGAGACCCTTGTGCAGGAGGCTGTCTGGACTTGGTACAGCTGGACCTAGGAGTCTCTGAGAAGATGGACTGGCTGCTGAGACCACTGGACCCTTTGGACCCAGATCTGGCCAGATGGCTAGGCCTTCCTCAGCAACATATACACCAAAGCTAACTCTAGGACCTAGAACAGCCCAACCTATCTCCAGCACTCTATCCACTGTGTTTCCAACCTCATCATCCCCAGTCCATAGCCCAGGCCTAACCCAAACTGTCTCCCAAGAGTAGGGCTACACACAGACACAATGCCTAGCCAAGGCCACAACAGGCTTAGGGCCATGGCTTGTGGCCTTAATGCTATCAGGACTCTCTTTCCAGGAGGCACTGAGCTGTGGGGACTTCCTCTGTGGAGAGGAGGTGTGTGTGTGTGTGTGTGTGTGTGTGTGTGTGTAGTGATAGAATTGAAGCAAAAGAAAGAGCTGGAAGCCCCCTGAATCACAGGTCCAGCCCTTCAGCTTCTGCCTGGCACACTCAGAGGCCCTCACAATGCAGACACAGAAGCCTAGACTGGTCTGTTCACTGCTCTGAGTGGGGTTGCCGCCCCTAAACAGATGATGAACTCCTTAAAGGTGAGTTTTCCAATGTCAGTCAACCCCCACAACCTCCTCTAGCACTCAGTGCTTGGAGCACAGGCAATTCCTGTAAGCTATGCGCTGGGCTGGGCTCCTGGGGCCTGCTCCAGGAGGAAGAGCAGAGCAGGTGGGAGAACTGTTTTGGAGATGTGATAGGAGTCTGGGAGGAATTCCCTGCCCTTTCCTCACATTTTATATTAAAGCAGGGTGGCGAAGCATTAGGCTTCCATTGGAAAATGTTCTCAGGCAGACTAGGGAGGTGGGGAAGCCGCGGGAGCTGGGAGGGAGCTCAGCCGGACTGCAAATAGAAACAGCTCTGGCTTGAGCCCGCAGCCTGGGCAGCCCAAGGGCACCCAGGCCGGGAGTCTACCGGAGCCAGGCGCAAAGGCAGCTCCAGAGTGGTCCTGTGCCCCTATTCCTCACCCAGCCCTCTCATCTACTGGGCAGGGAGCAAGGCCTTAGAAAGTCGGGGAAGAACGGACCCTGGCTTTGCTCTGGGGCTGTGGCGCTGGGGTACCCCCAGGAGCTGGAGGCGCTGATTGGACCCCGATCGGTGATGGTCACTCGTGGGACCCCTCCCCCCTTCCAAAAAGAAAAGGCGTGGAGTCTACTCTGTCTACACCCGCCTGGGCGTAGGAGCGCTGGTGGGAAGAAGTGGGGCGGCGGAGGAAGGGAGATAAGGTCTCTCTCCCTTGGACCCTATCCGGGTATGGGGAGGCTTCCGCGCAAGAACGCAACAAAGTCGCCAAAGCGCCGCTGCAACCCGAATCTGGTGCCTCGGCGGGTCACCCCCGCCCCGCGCCCCGGCCCGCGGCGCCACCAGACTAAGGGCTCTGAGAGCGGGAGCGCTGCCCAGCCCCAGCTCCGCCCGAGCGCCCCCACCGCAGCCCCCTCCCCACTCGCGAAGAGCGCCGTGCGAGGCCAGTGAGGCTCTCGAGGAATCGGCTGCAGAAGAAGAAAGGAAGGAAGGATCAGAGTCCGGGGTTGGGGGCGGCGGAAGCCGCTCCTGGGACTCAGGCTGGGCGGGTCAATGCCCGGGGCAGCTGCAGGGTGGAGGGCGAGCGCGAAGCCCCGGGGCTGGGAAGCGGGTCGCTGCAGAGCGCGGGCTGGGTAGGGCGCCGACCAGCTCCTTTCTTCCCGATCCTTCTCCCCCACCAAGTCCCACCTAGAACAGGGGGCGCGGCTCCCCTCCCCCCGCCCGGGCCCCCGGCGAGCGCGCGGGGCAGGGGTCCTCACCTCCGCGTGGACTTCGGCGTCCTCCGCCACGGTGCGGCGGCTCAGGCAGCCCAGGAGCACCAGGAGCAGCGGCAGCAGCCGGGGTCGCGCCGCCGCCTCCCGGCCGCCTCGGAAGCCGCCCGGCCGTGCGGGCGCGCCTCGATCGCTGCTCATGTTCCCGGCTGCACCCCGGGGTTCGCCCGCTCGCGGGCACCGAGCGGGTGCCCACGCTCGTGTGGCAAACTTGCGACGGTCCTTGGTTCCTTGGTCCTTGGTTCCACCGCACGGTGGAACTCAGGCTCCGGGTCCCCTCGGCAAATCCTCAAGCCCGAGGAGAAGCGGGCAGGGCCCGGCCGGGGCTGTCCACCGCACAGCCCCTCGCTCTCTGCGCCCGGCGCAACTCCGGAGCCTTTGTCTGGCTCAGCGCTCCGGCCGCCCGGTCCCGCGGCGCCCCCTGCGTGCCCAGCTCCCTCTGTCCATTCCCAGGGCCGGGCGCTGCCCGGAGCGTGCGCCTCCCGCCTCGGGACTCTGCTCGCCGCCGTGCCCTACCGGGCCTGGGTCCCCAGGCAATCCCGGGAGGAGCGCAGGGGTCCGGCCCGGGAGAGCGAGCGATCGGGAGCGAGCGAGAGCCAGGGAGCCGGCGCCAGACGTCCCTGGCGAGTTCGGCGTGGCTCCCGGCGCTCCCAGCCTTCCCCTCCGCTCCCGGCGGCCTTTAAAGGGCCAGTGCGCTCCCGGCGCGCGGACCCGAGCGGGGGCTGGGGGCGGTACTCTAACCCAAGTCTTCCTAGTGGCAGGTGCCGGCAGTGGGGTTGCCCTGGCAGGTGGGTCGTCCTTTTACTCTTCCTTAAGTGTAGCAACACCTACCCCCGCGTTACTCTCATTCCAGCTTCCAGAGAGCGAGGATGGGCCCCCCAACTCTACCCCACGCGAAGAGAGGGTGTAAGGAAGGCGTGGTCTTCGTTGAAGGGCAAGAATGAAGATCCCTCCTTCTCCCATCGGTTGGTTTGGGTATTGAAAACCCTGGGGCAGAGGTAGGCTTGCAGGAGGGCTGGGGGACATACCCCAAGTGCCTACTTTTAAGCATAAGCACATACATGCATGCATACATGCATATACACATGCATGCATGCATGCATACATACACACATACACACACACAAATACATACATACACGCGCACGCGTTTAGAAGTTGGTTGTCCAGGGTCCTCCATTAAAAAAGCCCCAGAGTCTTTGTCTCTTCAAATAACTTTCCTTAGGCGCAAGGTTGGGCGGGCAGAGGGCAGGTTTACAGGTTCCAGAGGGGCACGGTTGCAGTCCCGCATCCCCACTTCCCTGCCTTTCGGATGTGGGCATAGTTCTGAATCTGAGTCTCCAGTTCTCAACGAGCTGGGGGTGAGGGTTGCGTAAGGAATCTGGTTCCTGGTCTACATACACAAATTAGATTTCCAAGCAGAAGACAGTCACTCCTTGCCATTATTATGTCTGACAAAACAGTCCGACAAAGCACAGGGGCAAAGCTTCCTGCGGAGTTTATGTCCCAGATTTAAGTTTATTCCGGGAGCAGCTTGAGATCTGATGGGTGTGGATGCAGGACGCCAAGGCCCCTGGTCGAAGGCGTGGGGAGACCCTGGATTGGCAGGTGGGGTCACAGGTGAAGGCAGAGCTCGTTGGAGCGAGGGGAGGGGATGGTGCAGATCCGGAAATGGTAGCTTTTCTTAGGGTGGTTTTCTCTAGTTGGCTATGCAGACGCCCCCAACCACTCTCGTTCCCCGGAAGTGGGACCTGGCAGGGCGCCTTAGAAAAGGTCTATTGGAATACACCTGCTAGGTGAAGAAAAAGCACCAACCTGGCACTGTACCAGGTGGCTTGGCAGAGATTACCTGGGAAAGGAGCTTGGAGAAGAGGGAGGGAATGAAACCCATTTCCACCAACTTCGGGGGCTGAGGTGTATGAGGATACAGGAAAGGGAAATGGGATTCTAAATTCTCTACTTTGAAATTTGCTTTTGGGGAAGGTACAGTGGTCTTCATCTATGGACCACAGGGCTCAGTCATAGAACAACACACACACACACACACGCACGCACACACACACACACGCACACACACACACACACACACACACGAGTTGCCCTGTTTAACCAGAACACATTGCAATTTTATTTTCTATAGTAAGAAAGGAGTCCAGGAACTTGGGCAACTTTTGTAGAGGCCTTGTGTTCAGACAAGTCTGGTAATTGTTTTCATTCCCTTTAGAGAGATGCCTTCCTGTTGTCAGTCCTGCTTTAAGGAAATGGCTTCCTCTACAACTATATCATATACAACTATCCATTGTAAGGTGACTAGGTTTCTACCCTGTCAACTAGCCACTAAAATCTGAGTAGGACGTGCAGGACAGAGGGGGAGCATCTAGTATTAAACATTACCCACATTTTCTAATATCCTTTCATCTATACCAGGACTCCTCCATGTCCTTCCCCTTGTTTTATTCTTAGAGTATTTTGCATCAAAGCCTAGCTAGACACAGCATTTGATAGCAGTTTCATTTTGAGACCCTGGTGTGTGGCAGGAGGTTTGTACAGAAAGCCTTGCATTAGAAGTCAATCACTAGCCGGGCGTCAGTGGCTCAAGCCTATAATCCTAGCTACTCAGGAGGCTGAAATCTGAGGATTGCAGTTCAAAGCCAGCCCAGGCAGAAAAGTCCGTGAGACTCTTATCTCCAGGAAACCAGAAGTGGCGCTGTGGCTCAAGTAGTAGAGCGCTAGCCTTGAGCTGAAGAGCTGATGGACAGTGCCCAGGCCCGGAGTTCAAGCCCTACAACTGACCAAAAAAAAAAAAAAAAAAAAGTGAATCACTGGGTGATTGCCCTATTTCCAGGGCAGCCTAATGCATGCTATTCATCTCTCAGGGTTTGCTTCCTTATTTATAAAAGGAGGGCTCTGGCCCAGCTAATAGGTGAGGTTCTTCTATGCATGAAAGTTGTGGGGAGCTACAATGAGACCCAAGACCCCATTCTGCCAGGGATCAATGGGATCCTCAGGCATTTAAATAAAACCAAAGCCAAATCTACAAAAACTTTGCAGCTTCATTCACTTTTAGCTGCTTGCTTTTATACCAGTCTTGAAGGGGTTACCCAGGTAGTCAGTGCTCTCATTAGCTTTGAGATAGATTACCCACAGGTGTATGGGCCACGAAGGCAATGGCTGTTTCAGACTTTGGAGGAACTCAAACCAGTTGAAACCATTTGACTGGGCCTATGTGGATTCCCAATACGTCATGTACATGGAGGTCTCGAACGATTCCACTTTTCCTTTTGTCTAGTCACCTCAGATCACCCTGTTTCTTTACCCCAAAAACATTGCTAACCCCTATCCCTATGGCGGTGGATTTGAGACTTGGGGCTCCTGCCTTCACACACTTGGCTGCCTGGTGAATAAACTTTCTCTTTGGCAAAACTCTTTTAGTGATTAGCACAAGGTGAGGCAGGCAAAAGGGCCTGGTAACAAGGCAGTCCTTGGGGCTTCTGGTGCCAAGACGAAGTATAAACAAACAAATGGAGGTAATTCCTCTCTCCTTTGGAAACAACGTTGGGGTGGTCTGGAGAGGTGATGGAAAGGGCCAGACTGTCAGGTGGAACTCAGCCAGTAAGGCCTTGAGATGACCATTCTCTGCCCTGCAGGGAACATCAGAATGAGGCCAGATGGGTTGATTTGCACACTCCCTGGTGTAATAAATGCTCATCAAGAGCATTTCTTCCATGCATACCACCCACTCAGGGGCAGACCCTAATCCACTTGGGTCTCTTGTCTATCACTCAATTGTCTACTAGGTTTCTGGGGGCACATCTCGTATGGAAGAACCCAGTGGCTTCTGCAGTGTGGTGCTGGCTGAGTGTGCTCGGCTCTGGAGGCACACTCCTGGTCTGGGTACCTGCCAAGCCCCAGTGCCCAGCCCCTCCCCCTCAGCAAGCTCGGCTTCCTTCCCCCATCACCACCTTTCATTCTCCATTGAAGAGCCGCTTATTGATCTTGGCCCATTTCTCAAAGTGGCTGTACTCTTGATTCCATCCTTAGCCCAGCCCGCCTCCCCCAGGGGAGCAGCCCCAGCCAGTCATTTGGGAAGTGGAAGGTTGGGAATGAGGATTCTTCTCAGCACACCTCGCCTGTTTTTCCCACTAAGCAGAGGGGGCCAGACCTGGGCTGATTCAGCCAAGCATCCAATCAAGGCCTGGCACAGAGCAGGTCTAAGGTGGTTGTACAGCCAGTATCATCATGTGACTTGTAAGGCAGGAAACATGCCTTCCCTGCTTCTCCTCTCCAGTATGACCTCCATTGCCAGAGCCATCAAGCAAATGACCAGTGAGTTAATCAGTGTAATGGTGCTGGGGGAACAGGCATCAGATTTCTTGGGCCAGAAAAGGGAATCAGAGCTGCAAGATCATGAGGTTAGGGTGTGGGAAGTGGAGAGCAATGGGCCTAAGCTGGAGGTCTGTGTCTGGGCTGCACCAGAGCAGGTGAGTTCTCCTACCCCAGACAAGGTACACTTAACTTGCTCTTCTGTAAAACTTAATATTCCCACCCCTTCCCTTTTCCGAGTGTGGTTAGAAGAACAGATGAGAAAGTCCTAGAAAGGCCTTGAGTAAGGAAGCAGAATAGTGTGTCTGGGCTTTTGCCTATGAAGGATGGGATGCCACATGCCAAGCCTGGACGGCTAGTGATCGATCCCACTCTCCCTTTACTAAGACAGCGTTAATATCTCTCTCGCCCACCTTGGATGTCTGAAGAGCCCCTTAAACAGGAGAACAACTGGAGAGAGTAGGAGAGTAGGGGCAAAGGAAAATCCTCTCACCTTGGTGAAAACACAAGTGAGAAAAAAAGAGAAAAATGCATTTTTTAATTTTTAACATAATTTAAAACTGTAACAAAAATAACTTCATCCATCATCAGAAACCCAAATGATAACTGGTAAGGACTGGGCCTCATCCTCTTGAGGCGTTGATAACAGTAATTCTCTGGGCACCTCTTAGAAGGCTCTTCCACAAACAGCAGGTGGAGGACTTTGCAGGGAGGTACCTCTCTGCCTCTTTGGGAAAGTTGATGGGGGAAGCCAGAGGTCAGAGTGTTGGAGGCCTGGCTTCCAGCCATGGCCAAGCCAAAATGAAACATCTGTTCAAGACTCCCTAGGCACCTGGGGAGTGGGAGGAAGGAATGGAGAAAGCTGCTGCCTACCACAAGTTAGCACCCGGTGCCTAGTCCTGAAATGGCCTCTACTGGTGCAGAATGGGGAGACAAACGTAGATAAATAGTGGTGGCACACTTCCAGATCTGTGTCTGGGCTACACTGGAGCAGGTGAGTTCTCCTAACCCAGGCAAGGTACACTTAACTTGCTCTTCTATAAAACTTACCATTCCCATGCTTCCCTTCCCTCCTGTCACCGAGGTGACAGTCCCACTGAAGCCCCTAAGTCCTAGCTTCATAAGGTATGATGACTTGAAAAAAAAAAATTGGCTGAGTCCTATGGAACCACAATGCAAGCTGAGGCAGAGCCTGCGTTAGTGGGCCTAGAGGGACTTCAGTTGGGGTTCTGGCTAGATGTGGATGGAATCCCCTAGTGACCCTCATTTTTTTCTTTGTAACACTACCACAGAGCAAGAATGACAAAGTCCAGGCTTCCCTCTACTGGTGATTTCTGGGAATGACTGCCACACAGTAGCATCCAACCTGTAAATCCCAGAGACCAGGTTCTCTCTAGCCAGCTCCCAGGAAGAGTCAGGAATGGAGCTGGGGCCTCCTAGAGGAAGGCCGGAGCATCTCCACGGGTATTGATAGGCTCCCCTAGCTGCAGCCTGGCCTGCAGAGTGGCCTGAGTCCAGGAAAGCATCTGTGGCTCACTTCAAAGGCACGGAGAAGAACTTGTTCCCAGACTTGCAGCGGATCTGTTCAGCTAGCACTCGCAGCAGCAGTTCAGAGTCTTCAAACTCATCCACGATCTCCTTCAGCCAGCAGCCAGCAGGGAGGGGACAGTCACGTTAGGGGGAATCTGAGGCCCAGAGGCACAGCAAACATAACCAGTATCACAAAGTCTTTCAGAGGCTAGGCAACGCTGAGGGGTCCTGGGCCATGAAGGCTTCAGGCTTCTCTGATCTTGACTAATCACCCCTCAGCCTTGTGAGGTCAGGCTTATGACCCCTCTTACAGGTGAGATTCCCTAGCTCTCATTTACAGTAACCAGTGAAACTAGGATTGGGACCTGGGTCAGGAGAGGGAGTTGGGAGGAGCAAAGCATCCGAATTGCTAACACACTCCAGGTCTTCCTGACCCAGGGATCACAATTCTGGCAAGGTCAGGGGTGGGGGCTCTCCTGCCACGTCCTTGGTTTCCCAAGTACTTGGGATTAGATGCCTAGTTTGTCCTCCCCCAGTTTCTACTCCATCACATCTGGAGTTTAGGTCCTCTATGTTCCCTCCTGGGAATTCACCTGTAGTTCCTGGAGGCACTGCCCTTCTAGCTGCAGATGTGCGTCACCCACGGACCAGGCCAGACTGACATGGAATGAAGGGTCCTGTAGAAGAAGGCAAGGAGGTGGTTGTTCCCCAGATGCTAGGCCCAAGGCACCACTATCAGGGTCTCCTTGTAGTATCCTGGCCTGTTTTTACACAAGACTGGATCCTCAGGGCTGATCCTAAGAACCTGGCACACACAGACAAATAGCCTGCTTGGTTCTTGCTATGAGCAGAACTACACCCCAGCCCCTACAGCCCCCAGTGTGATGGCATTTGGAGGAGCCACGGGAAGGTGATAGGGATGGATAAAGCCCTGAGGGTTTGGTTCTTAGACTTAGAAGATGAGAACTCTTTGAGAGCTTGTTTGCGCCTTCCTTTCTTTCTACCAGGGATGACACCTCAGGAAGACAGGGGTCAGAATTCAGCCTTGATGTTGGATTTCCAGACTCCAGAATGTGAGAAGATAAATTTCTGTTCTTTAAGCCCCTACTCTGTGGTATTTTATTGTGGCAGCCTGAGTCAACTCAGACTGTCTCAGGGCCTTTTACATTCTCAAGGTATCATTAGATGTAGTGCATGGAAGTTTCTCATCTGAAACATCCTAGCACAGGCCACACTTGTCAGATGAAATGAACAAAACCTAGAATGTCTTACTATTTTGAAGCAACAATAGCGATCTCCATTTTGTCATTCTTTAGAGCTAGGATGTTTTCTTAAAGATTTTTTTTTTAAAGTAAAAACCAATGGTTCTTTAAAGCCTTGGTATTCAGCCAGCTGCCGGTGGCTTATACCTGTAATCCTAGCTTCTTAGGAAGCTGAGATCTGAGGATTGCAGTTCCAAGCCAGGCTGGGCAGAAAAGTCGGTGAGACTCCTATCTCCACTAAACTACCAAAATAGCTGAAAGTAGAGCTGTGGCTCAAGTAGTAGAACAATAGCCTTGAGCACAAGAGCTCAGGGACAGAGCCCAGGCCCTGAGGTTAAGCATCAGGACCAACTAGCACCAAAAGAAAAAACAAAGCAACAAAAAACCTTGATACTCAAGCTGGACTCCAAGTATGACTGAAGGACACAGGGCAGGAGCATTAAGTCATGACAAGCAACAGAACTCCCTGAAGGGTTGATTTTTACTGGTGCTGGGGACAATGACTTCTTAAGAAACAAGAAGCAAGCATGGATACATTATGGAGTGGAAGGCACAAATCTTGAGTATACTTACGTTACAGGAAATCTTACATGCTGGATTTTGGATGGGCTACACCTGGCTAAGCCTCAGACACCAGGGTTGTGTGCTCTTTGTGGACAAGTAGAAGACAGCCCTTTAGTTTGCCTCTGATAAGGGCTTCTTAAAGGATGGTATTGTTCTAGTTATTAGTGAGTGGAGAAGAATCAGCTTTGTTGGAGAAACAATAGCTGTGTGCATGCATTATCTGTACTGTTTGTGCATTACCTGGTAGAAAGTGGCAAGGCCGAACTCTTCCATGACTCTGTCCACCTCTGAAACTAGGTCCAGGAACTGGGCATGCCCTGAGGTAACCTCAAACCCAATAAAGGTCCTGGGGAGAGGCAGCAGTAGAGACAACATGGGAATGATACATGTCTCTGAGATCATAAACCATCTGAGCAGGAGCCTAGGGCCCAGTGGGAGGTCTAGTGGCCTGGGCCATGGCAGACCTCACTTCCTTAGTGCTCCACGTGCTGGCTTTCTCTCTCCCTCCTCCCATTTTCAAGCTTCCTCTGCCAGTTGTGACCTCGTGTTTTCTCCTCCCCGGTGTCTAAGAACCTTCCTAGAGGACTCCACCCACCATGTGGACCTCCTTGCCTCTACTGCCTCACCTTCCATCTCCAACTTCCTTTCACCAGCTTCTACGACACCAAAGCCCCACCTCCTCCTCTCCTCATACAGCAGAATCTTTCACAGCTCACTCTGCCCTCCTTGAAACGCTGTAGCCTAATGAGTTTGTGCAGCAGGGAATGAAAGAAGGCATGGGCCTTTTCCGTCACATAAGTGCACTGGATTAGTTGCTTGCCTTGAAGCCTTGGTAACAATAATGTCCTCTTTATGGTCACTTAACTCTTTCGTACTTTCCACCTTTCAAAACCCACTGGGCTTATTTGAGCCTTGAAACTGCCCAACAGGGGATGAATCAAGGAAACAAGAGGCCATGGAGACTGTACAAACTTACGACTGGGATCAGAGTTTGGTAGAAACAGGTTTCCGACCTTCACAGGTTTTTCCCTACCTCTATGCTCCTCTCAATGCTCCCCTAGTTCTTTTCTGGAAAAAAAAATACTCCAATTTTGGAATAGTGGCTCTGTAGTCATAGACTTGGTTAAAAAAAAAAAAAAAAACCTTCAATCTTTGTTTCAAAGAAACTTCTGGTAGTGACTCTGGCTCAGGTGGACACACACCTGGTTTTCTCTTGATTGGTATAAATCTTTACTTGGTTGGCAGTAAAGAAGAATCTGAAATTTAGAAGAAGAAAGACCATTAAGGGAAAAAACCCAGAATAATTAGCTTATGATAAAATACACACATACACCACCACCACCACCACCACCACCACCAAAAAACAACCCCCAGTACTTTTAGCTGGGTGTGGTAGCATATGCTGGTACCCCAAAGCTCAGGAAGCTGCAGATCTTGAGTTCAAGGACAGCTCATGCTCCTTTCTCCTTTTGCTCTTCATTTCTACTAGTGGCCATGTTGAATTGGCCCCTATCCAGGAATTATATCCCCTGGATGGAGGAGGACATTTACTTCTGAATCATAACATTACAGTTTTCATAACTTTTTTTTTTGGTTGTGGGGCTTGAACTCTGGGCCTGGGCATTGTCCCTCAGCTCTTCAGCTCAAGGCTAGTGCTCTACCACTTGAGCCACAGTGCCACTTCTAGTTTTCTGGTGGTTTATTGGAGATAAGAGTCTCACAGACTTTCCTGCCTGGGCTGGCTTTGAACTACAATCCTCAGATCTCTGTCTCCTGAGTAGCTAGGATTACAGGCGTGAGCCACTGGCACGTGGCCAGTTTTTGTAACTTTCAAAGGTTATACAATCATGAAAAAAATCAGGCAAACCATAAGGTAACACCATTTTCTTTCTTCCTTTCCTGCTTTTTTTCCTTCCTTCCTTCCTTCCTTTTTCTTTCTTTCTTTTTGTGGTGCCAGTAATGTAGCTTGAACCCTGGGCCTGGGCTCTATTCCTGAGCAATTTTGCTTAAGGATAGCTCTCTACCACTTGATCCACGATACACTTCCAGCGTTTTGGGTCCTTAATTGGAGACAAGCGACTCAGACTTTCCTACCCTGGTTGGCTTCAAACCGTGATCCTCAGATCTCAGCCTCCTGAGTAGCTAAGATTATAGGTGTGAGCCACCAGCACCCAACTTATTATACCTATTTTTAAAAATACTCTTTGTAAAATTAAGTTTTCTTTTTAAATTAAAAAAGAGAAAAAGTACAAGCTTTCATGGAATACCCAAGGTCACACCAAGATGAATGGCATGGCACACACCCCAGGAGATGGGCCTCATTCTATCCTTTAGAGCCAGACTGTTTTCTGGATTAATGCACTGCATGCTCTAAGCCCAAAGCACCTCAGGAAAGGAGGAGGAGCCTTGAGAGGAGAAGAGCAGGAAAGTAGAGGGAGCACTCACTTTTGAAAGGAGGTCATATGGTGTTTCAGGGCCTGTACAAAGGGGAGGATCCAGTGGTGGCGCAGGACCACACTCTGAGACAGGCTGAGGTGGAATTCCTCCATCCTTACCAGCCGGGGCTCATAGGTCTGGGCGTGGGACAGCAACACATCAAGCAGGTCCAGGAATTCTTCCCTAGCTTCATCTGGAGGGAAGAGGAGAGGAGAGGCCCTTGCCTTAGCCAAGGGGTCATGGTTGGATGAAGAACCCAAGGGCAGAGAGAAGCCTTAGGTACTCTGGTTCTGAGAGTAGTCTATGTCTATTTGGTCTAATAATATTTTAATATTAATTTCTGGCTAGAGAAGTGTATTAAATGCTCATTCTAAAGGACTTGAGTAAAAAAAAGAAATATACAGGGGACTTCTTGTTTCCAGTCAAACAAGTATGAAGCTTGGAAGTTGTCATACTACCCTGATGAGGCATAAAATGCTCAATAAACTGAGAAAGCAACCAGCTCTTCTCAGATCTGTAAGACAGGAGAGACACCCAGAGGTGAACAGAGTTCATAAATGACAAATGAGGGGAAACTTCTCTGGGAACAAGGATCAGGGTAAGGAAACCTAAATGGTCATGAACAAATTGCTGGATCCACATCTTGTACCAATCCCCAGGAGAACTCATGGGGAAGGGTACATACTTTGAGGAAGTTTCTTTCTTGGCACACTGCCAGGTTCTCAGTTTTGTGGAGAATATGTACTTCTGGAATGGGATAAACAAGAAACAGTTTAGAAACATGTGGAACTTTGTTTTTTTTTCTCAAAATGGTCTGCCCTTAGAAGAAGTGATTAATCAGATCCTAACCAGCTGAGGCATAAAATCTACCAGATTGCAGAAGGGAAATCCTATGCCAGCCAAAGTAAACAGAAGAAAAGATGAAATTTGGAAGCCAGGATCAGGTGGCTAATGCTAATTACTTCAGAAGCTGAGACCTGGAGGATCTTAGTCCAAAGCCAGCTCAGGCAGAGAAGTCTAAGAGACTTTATCTTTAAAATAACCAGCAAAAAGCTGGGTGGAGGGTTAGCTCCAGTGGGAGAATATCTCCCATGAGCGAGGAAGTTGAGGGAGAGTGCAAGGTCCTGGGTTCAAACCCAGAATCAGAAGAGAAAAAAAAAATAGAGCAGATATAAATAAAATTGAAGCTGGGTGTAGTGAGTTAGTCCTATGATCCCAGTCCTGGGGAAGTTGAGGCAGGATTGTGAGTTTGAAGCTAGGCTAGGCTATATATTGACATCCCATCTCAATAATCAGAGAGAGAACGAGAGATCAAGAAAACCAATGTCTATATTCAGATTGTTATATCCCTTATTAGTTATTAGGACTAGTAAGATGTATTTCATTAAACTTCATTAAATAGAATTTTTGCCCTATGATAAAAATACAGAAAATACTGGGTGTTGATGGTGCACACCTATGATCCTAGTTACTTGAGGAGGCTGAGATCTGAGAACTGAGGTTTGAAGCTATCCCTGGCAGACAAATCCCAAGACTCTTATCTTCAATTAACCAAACTGGAAGTAGAGGTGTGGCTCAATGGTAGAGTACCAGTCTTGAATAAAAAAAGCTGAACAAGAGCATGAAGCTCTAGTATAAGTCCCTATTCCCCCAAAAAGAAAAAAAAAACTATACAACTCTTGAAATCAAACCATCTGATTAGAAACAGGCCAAAAACATTTACTATACATCCTAGGAAAGACATACAGATAGCAGAAAGCAAATGTCATCAGATGTCATTACGGAAACAAAACAATGAGGCAGCACTGTATATCTACATAAGGACCAAGTCCAGAACACTGGCAGCACCAAACACTTGCTGAGGATGTAGATCAACAGGAACTCTTGTTGCTGGTAGGGATGTAAAATGGGACAGCACTGTAGAAGACAGCTGGTTGTTTCTCATAAAACCAAACATATTGTTAGTATATAACCCAGCCATCATTCTCCCTAGTATTTACCCAAAGGAGGTGAAAACGTATCCATACAAAAGCCTGCACACAGACATCTGAAGCAACTTTGCCAATATTGAAAGCACTACATGTGGGAGATAGAGATGAAAAGGTATCCCACAATTAGGATACTGAAACCATTGTATATGATGATATATGGTATATACATTTTTTTTCTTTTCTTTTTCTTTTTGTCAATCCTGGGGCTTGAACTCTGGGCCTGGGCTCTCTCCCTGAGCTCTTCAGCTCAAGGTGAGTGTTCTACCACTTGAGCCACACTACTTCCAGTTTTCTGGTGGTTAACTAGAGATAAGAGTCTCATGGGCATTTCTGCCTGGGCTAGCTTTGAGCCATGATTCTCAGATCTCAGCCTCCTGAGTAGCTAGGATTATAGGCATGAACCACTGGTGCCTGGCATATTTTTTCTTTTTCAGGTTTGTCTAAGCCTATAGAATGTTCATCATGAAGAGGAAGCCCTAATACAAATTATGGTCTCTGAGTGATTATCATGTGCCAATGTAGGCTTATCAATTGTGACAAATGTACTAGTTGAGGGATGTTGGTAACAGGAGAGGCTACAGAAAATAAAAATAAGAGCCATCACTCTGTATGCTGTGTACTTATCCTGTGTACTTAACATAGATGATTTAACTTTTCTAGATGACAGGTATTACTATTAGTCCCACTTTAGAGGGGAGAAAACAGAGATTCCAACAAGTCCTAAAGGATATCAGAGCAGTAGGTAGTAGAGTGCTATCTTTAACTCAGAAGCCTGGACTTTTTGCTTATCATCTGTTCATCAGCACTGGGGGAAGAGGGAGAACTAGTACATGGGACCCCTCTTTCTTCCTCCTAGTTGTAGCTAGGAACCACCTATTGGTCCCAGCCATTTGCCTTCCATATGTAACTCACATGGTATGTAGATGTGGGTGGCCCAGTTGCCCCGCTCATGGGGAAATGTGCGAATCCGTCCCCCATGTTTTGTACAATCATCCTCAGGCCCTTCCGCTGTGCTGGGAAACATGTTCAGCACACTCTCAGGTACTGGAAGCCTCTCACAGGGCAGGGGGCTCTGGCTTCTGCAAGAGAAAAACAAACAAACAAGCACAATTATCCTTGGCACTCTACCTCTGTACATCCAACAAAAGTTGTAATCACTTATACACAGTGGCTGGGTGTGGATTTCCAGGCAACTTCTGGACAGCCACAAAGCCCTCTTCCCACTACTTGTCTCCCAACAACGTGGGGAACAGACAGAGTGCTTGGTCTTCATGGGAAACATTGGGGTGCGCAGCAGTGAGTGGTTGGTAGGTCAATTACCTAACTGGTTTGTCGTGGGCTGGATGGCATATTCTAGCTGTGTAATAATCTTGGGCAAACGTTCTCTTTTGGGAGTACAACAGTTTCCTCACGTGTAAAGCATATTGCTACCTGATGGATCAACTGAGATAATGCTAGCAACAAGAACAGGTTTTTAAGAACTGAAGACCCAAGAAGCGAAGAGACTCTGATGGCTTTTATTCATTGGAGTTCTCAGTCTCGACTGGCTCAGAATGGGTTCGATGAACATTCATTGCGCCTTGCCTGCTACTATCTCCGCAATTATGTTCCAATGAGCCAACACACCTAGGCTAGTGCAATGCTGTGCAGATGCGAGTGTGGACCTCATCTCGTGTTCCTGCCTCCCAGCCTTGTCCTAGCAGGTGGTGGTACTCTGGGGCTGTGTCCACAGCTGTCCTCTGGCTCCTCGGTTCCCTCTGCACTCCGCTTTTCCATCCCTAGGAGCTACGTGGCCCTCCCCGCCGCCCCAGACCCTCAAATCCCAGTGGGGGAATGGCGCCCTCGCGCGCGACACTAATTAGGTCCTCACCGACGGCGCCGTCCATTCCCGGGCCCGATCCACCCCGTGGCCGCAGACGCGGCCTCCGCTTCGGCCTCACCCTCATCCTCCGAGCCGCTGCTGCTGTAGCCCACCAGGGGCGCCACGCTCATGGGGCCGCGTCCGAGACTACCGGGCGGGTCCCGCGGGCAACCTCACGGCGCATCCGGAGTTCCGTGGAGCCGGAAGTGCTCCCGGGGGCGGGACCTGGTGTAGCACCGCCTCCGGGCCGGGCGGGGCGGGAGCGGGTTGGGCCGTGCGCGCTGACCGCCCGGGGCCGCACGCTGCCGGCTCGCTGTCTGCGCGCGGAGGCCTGCCTGTTGGAGCTCCTCAGCTTCGGCGTTCCCGTCGCACAGGTTCCACAGTCCCCTCTTTAAACGGGCCCGTAATCTGGAGTCCCGGGGTCCCGCTCTCCACAGCCAAACCAGACGTTCCGCGAGGCCCCTCGCGGTCAGGTGCAGGCATCGCGCCCGGCCCGGGCGCCTCCTCCCCGGAAGCGGAGTGGGAGGGAACTGGGCGCCCTCCCCCTGTCAGCCGTAGCGCGGCGGGCTGTCGGCCGGAGCACCGCCCTCGGTGCGGGCCGGGCCGCAGGGCTCCCGGTAGGGGGCGCCTTCGCCTCGCCGCCACCGCCGCCCAGCCGCTCCTCCCCGGCCCCGCCTCCCTGGCCCCGCGCCGCCCGCCCGTGCGTCCGCCGGTCTCTGCAAGGCCATCCGTCGGTCCACTCGCCCTCCCGGCGCTCCTCCGCCCCAGCCCCTCTACCCCCGTTGCCGCGCTTCGCTTCCTCTGTTCCGGCCGCTGCAAGCCCGTCCGCGGGCCGCCGCTACGCGAGGCCGTGGATTGGCAGCGTGCATAGGCCGCGCCGCTGCCGCTGGAGCCGGAATAAAGGGACGGCCGAGACAGCAGCTGGTCGCCGCTAGCCCCGCGCCTTGCCCCGCGGGCGGTCTGGAGCAGGTGAGCGGCGGAGCACCCGGGGCTGCGTCTTCGGGGATACTTCCGCTCCCGCCGCCCCCCTTCTCCTAGCCGGCCCAGCCGTTCCCCCGCCCCTCAGGCCCGACCCACCGGCCGCTTTCCGGGTCGGGCCTGCGGCTCTGGGCCCTTCTCGGGCCCGGCCACCCCACTCTCGGGCCACGGCGGCCCGGCCATCCTGCGCCAAGGCTGACAGGAGGCAGCTCAGTTGCACGGCCCGGGAGGGCCAGGTAGAGTGTGATCGGTTTTCATTCGGTTTCCCAGCGAGGTAGGGCTGAGGTGGGGCGCAGGTGGGTCTGGCCTCCCCTCCCATTTGCCGAGTGACCAGAAAGAATTCTTGGCTGCACCTTTTCCTGGTTGAAGACTGGAGTGGGCAGTGGGATTGCTGCAGGGAGGGGGTGGGGCTGGCAGCCATTGCCAGGAAGAAAACATACACTTGGATTGGCTCAGCTAGATCTAGACGGCGCTCCGAGCAGCCCACCTTTCCGCCTCTCTGCCCCACTAAAGGCTTAATATACCTGCCCCTCTCCCTGAAAGATGCTGAGGATGACAGCTCTTAGCTTGACATTTGTTTCTTTGCAGAACAGTTGGAAGCCAGTCTGGCCCACGGGGGCATCCTCTACCTTTCTTCCTTTCAAGAGCAAACATATACAAACTTTTAAATGCAAGAGGCAACAGAGCTGGGAGCCTGGAAGTAGGCTGTCTCTGACATTAAGTACCTCCCTCTTTCTGGCATTACCTGCTGCTGCCACAAAGTGGTGAGTTAGAGGGTTGCCTGGGTTGGGTGGGCTTTGCCTTGCATTGATGCCTGGAATGTTATGGACTCAGAGCAGAAAGCCTCTGTGGTTAGATTGCTACACCCTAGTTTCTGAGGGAGAGCAGTGCAGTTTCCTCTGTTCTCCTGATGGCCTATGGAGACACTTGGAGAATTTAGAACTTTTTTTTCTTGGTGGTGTGCTAGGAAACAACTAGAGTAAGGAAGTTCTGCTTTGTGGCCATCCAGGCTGGGTGGGACTGTGAATTTGTCATCTAATGCCTATTGTCTATGGCTGCATATCCCAGCAACACCAACAGTCCTATTATATGGAGAGAGAATAGGCATGTGGCTAGGGTGGAGGGCAGTGTAGGCAGGATTGTCACACAGGAGAAGGGTTTTGAAATGGTGCGTGGCTCATGTAGTTGGCCTAACTTCCTTGGATTAACAAGCAGTTCCTCTGAATAGTGATGTCTTTTTTTTTTTTTTTTAAATTGTGAGAATACCTTACAGAGGAGTTACAATTACGTGGGCAAGAATAGTGATGTCTTGCATTTGGACTTAGAGTGAAATGGGAACAAGGCTGTCAGGCCTCAGGGACAGAGCACTCCAGATTCTAACATGTGAGATATCTTACTGAGCAGCGTTTTCAGGAAGCTAGAAGGGGACTCATGGGGGTTGGGGTTAGTTCAGGGATGAGGAACTAAGGTGGGTGGGAGTGGAGACAGCTCCCCTCCCCTTTGCCTGGATGAGCTGATGTGCCCTCAGTCTTCTTTGGTAGCATGTGAAGAAAGGCAGATTTTGCCCCTGACATCTGCCTTCCCTGATGGGGCTGATGTTTGAGTGGCACGTGTGGGCAGCACAGGGAGAGGAGCCAGGGAAAGGTTGTTTGTTCTTATCTCAAGTTCACAATGTCTTTCTTCCCTACAGAACTGATCACTGGGAAAGGCAGAGCCTCCCTGCCATTGCTGGGACCCTGCCTTGAAGAGCCCCCTGCCCTGTAAACACAGCCTTTAGTCTGTCTCCTTACTTAGTGACGGAGGCTGTTTGATCAGTCCTCTGCTGTGCCTTGTCTGAGGTCCTTGTCCATCCTTGAGATTGGACATCTTCTCTCTCTAGGTTGTGTCACCTTAAGCAGGAAACTGAAGCCGTTACTCTCCAAACCCTGTTTCATCTTCCCAAGCATGTCAGAAAGCTGGCAGCAGCCCCCACAGACGCAACCTCAGCAGCCCCAGCCACCGCAGCCTCAGCACCATGCGGAGCCACCACCAGCGCTGGCTGACCACACGCTGCCCCCTGGTACAGCTGAGAACCCTCTGGGCTGTGCTGTCTATGGCATCCTCCTGCAGCCAGATCCCGGCCTACAGCCTCCTCAACATGCACCCCCGCTTCAGGCAGCAGGGGAGCCAGGCCCTAAATGTGGGGTGTGTGGTCATGACCTGGCACACCTGTCCAGCCCCCACGAGCACCAGTGTCTAGTGGGCCACGACAGGTCATTCCAGTGCACACAGTGTCTCAAGATCTTCCACCAAGCCACTGACCTGCTGGAGCACCAATGTGTGCAGGCTGAGCAGAAGCCTTTCGTTTGTGGAGTCTGCAAGATGGGTTTCTCATTGCTCACCTCGCTGGCTCAGCACCACAGTGCCCACACTGGCCTGGTGAAGTGCTCCATCTGTGAGAAGACCTACAAGCCAGCCGAGTCAGCTGAGCCAGCTGCTAGTACGGGGACCCCATCGCTCCAGGTGGCACCCCCTCCTCCTCCAGCTGGGACTGCTGCAGAACAGCCTGAAAAGCCCTACAGCTGCCCCATCTGCCAGAAGCCCTTCAAGCACCTGTCAGAGCTCTCTCGGCATGAGCGGATCCACACTGGGGAGAAGCCGTACAAGTGCACGCTGTGTGACAAGAGCTTCAGCCAGTCATCCCACCTGGTGCACCACAAGCGCACACACAGCTCAGAGCGGCCCTACAAGTGTGCCGTCTGTGAGAAGACCTTCAAGCACCGCTCACACCTGGTGCGCCACATGTATGCACACTCCGGCGAACACCACCTGTTCCGCTGCAACGTGTGCGAGTTGCACTTCAAGGAATCCTCGGAGCTGCTGCAGCACCCTTGCACCCCGAGTGGTGAACGGCCCTTCCGCTGTGGTGAATGCCAGAAAGCATTCAAGCGGCCTTCTGACCTGCGGCAGCACGAGCGCACACATAGTGCCGAGCGGCCCTTCAAATGCGACCTGTGCCCCATGGGCTTCAAGCAGCAGTATGCACTCATGCGGCACCGGCGCACGCACAAGACTGAGGAGCCCTTCAAATGTGGCCTGTGTGAGAAGGGCTTTGGGCAGCCCAGCCATCTGCTTTACCACCAGCATGTGCACACCCTTGAGACTCTCTTCAAGTGCCCCGTATGCCAGAAGGGCTTTGACCAGTCAGCCGAACTGCTGCGGCACAAGTGTCTGCCAGGCTCCACTGAGCGGCCCTTCAAATGCCCAGTGTGCAACAAGGCCTACAAGCGGGCATCGGCCCTGCAGAAGCACCAGCTAACGCACTGTGCAGCAGCTGAGAAGCCCCTGCGCTGCACCCTGTGTGAGCGCCGCTTCTTCTCTTCGTCTGAGTTTGTGCAGCACCGCTGCGACCCGGCACGCGAGAAGCCGCTCAAGTGCCCAGACTGCGAGAAGCGCTTCAAGTACGCATCAGACCTGCAGCGCCACCGCCGGGTGCACACAGGTGAGAAGCCCTATAAGTGTCCCAACTGCGACAAGGCCTTCAAGCAACGTGAGCATCTCAACAAGCACCAGGGCGTGCATGCCCGAGAGCAGCAGTTCAAGTGTGTGTGGTGTGGTGAGCGCTTCCTGGACATGGCCCTACTACAGGAGCACAGTGCCCAGCATAGTGCAGCCGCTGCTGCTGCTGAGGGTGCCTACCAGGTAGCTGCATGCCTCCCCTAAGGCTGGGCACCACCCACCTGGCCTGGCCCAGCCTCACCTCCTTGCGGCTGCATGGCACCATCCCACACCTAGCTCTATGTCCTGTGGCCCCCGAGAGAGGACAGAAGGGTCCCATGCAGGTGGGCAGTGTACCTGCTCAGTCACCCTGGCACCAGCCTGGCAGCAGAGGACCCAGATTGCTGTGGCCAGTCCTAAGTCCATAAACCCTTTTCCCATCATGGGATTTACCCTCTGAGAGTATCTACCTCTCTCATCTCTGGGAGCCTGGAGTCCTAGGGGCAGTCAGGTGGCCCCTGTCTACTCCAGGGGTGGAGGTAACAAGTCAGCCTCCCCAAAACTTTCAGCTTCTTAGAAGCCAGATAGTCTGGAAGGAGGAGAGGGGTATGGCAGTACCTGGGACCCAGAGGTGGGCAGGTAAGGCATCTCCTTCAAGTTGCTGTCTGGGGGAAGGAGGGCAGATTGAAAGCTACAACCCTGTGTCCCAGCCAGGTTTTCTAATAAAGATGTACAGGGTAGGGATCTCTGTTGCCTGGAGAGCAGGGGACTCATAACAGGAGGTGCAAGCAGGTATGACACCCTCAATTAGGGACAGTGCAGTCCATGGGAAAAGGAGAACAAAGTGGTTTGTGCCTGGGGCTAACCAGGTACAGGTGCTTTGGAAGTACCCCCGCCACTTGGTCAGTATGGGTCCAGTCTGTGGTGGGGGACATGTCCCTTGCCACGTAGAGCTGTCCATGTGAAAGGTGAAGTTGGGAAGAGGTAGGGCCAAGCCCATAATCTCCCCAGCAGACATAAATACATGTCCTCTTCCACATTGTATGAACCAAAGTGTTCAGGCTCAGAGGTGCCACAATGCCAAGGCCAGGCCTGGGTACCCATGGTGGGTGGGGGTACCCTCTCTGACTTCACAGTGTTCTCCTAGCCTGTGGTAACACCATCCCTCTGTTAGTCTGGCTGTTGGCTTGACCTGACCTGAAGGATCTCTGTTGCCAAAATGCTCTCCCATTATCTGGTTGCTTCAAAGCCAGAACATTCTCCTTTGAGTCTTCCTAGAGTCCCCCAAGGACTCTGGCTGTCTACAGGGTCCTTAGAGAAGCAAATATCCAGGGTGTAGGGAACAGAAGCAAGATGATTTTAGAGTCCCATAGGCAGTGTTCCTGGCAAGTGCATGGTCAACCAACATTGCTGGACAGCCAGGGCCCTCCCCAGGAGTTCAGCCAACCTGCAGACCATTCTAAACCCAGCTCTACCCCCAGCGCCAATCCTCCCTGGTTGTGAAGAGTACACAGCATGGGTGCAGTGGGATGGGAAGATGTGCCACTTCACCCGTAACTTCAGGAAGTCTGAACAGTCACATCCACCTTTTCTGAGTTCTCTCCTGGGCCTGCAGAGGCGCTAGCTCTTCCTCAGCGCAGGTTCTTGTTCACAATGCCTCAAAAGACTGGAATCTAGGCTTGCAACAGTTCCAACAGCTAATTTTTTTTCTTTCATTTTGCTTTCTAAAAGCAGTTTGTTATACTATTCATAACATTGTATAGTTTAATTTCATGTCATTTTGGATCTTATACATAAATGTGAATATTGGGATTTTTTAAAAATATGACTCCATTTTAGGTAGCCACTTTTGATGTTAATATATAGTGAGTCCAATGTATGCTTTAGAAGTAAAGACATTGACCATCATAGGCCAGACCTCTGTTTGTCTGCTCATTCTTTCTAGGAAAGGCGGGCCTTGGGGGGAGCGAGCTATGTGGACCAGAGTGGCGGGTTGGGACTAGACATGGGATAGGTTTAAATCCTAAGTTTTGACTGCTCTGGCTGCATAGCCTTGGCCAAGATCTTTTGGGACTTACTTCAAAGGTATATAAAAAAAGTTGGAGAGGATGATTAATCCTTGCTTTGACCAGATATTATGAGAGATAAATAGAGTCATTGTTGAAGCTTTGGTGGGATGTCTGGGAGGATGTCTACAGGACACCTGGGGCCCTCAGGAATAGATGTGTCCTTAGGGTTTAGGAGTGTATGCTAGTAAGGAAGGTACACAGCACTATACCCAGCTTCTCCCCATTAAGATGGAATCTTACGATCTTTCTGCCTAGACTGGCCTTAAGCCACTATCCTCACATTCATAGCCTCCCAAGTAGCTAGGATTAGAGATGTGAGCCACCAAAGTCTGGCTTCTTCCTAGAGCTCTGCCCGCCACCCCTGCACTCCTCATTTGAGACAGTCTTGTTATGTTGTCCTAGATTGTCCCAAACTCCCAGGCTCAAGCAATCTTTTCCTCAGCTTCTAAGTAGCTGGGACTACAAGATGCCCCCGGACTCCTACAATTGCTTGCTACTGGATTTTTAACTTCTGAGAGCTTTCTGATGAGATATCCTATCCTCATAAGCCCTAGTTGGATGACCTCAGCCCCAGGAAACTCCACCTTCACCCCTGGTTTCTTCCTTGCTCTGGGCTTGTCTCTGTGAGCAGGGAAGCAAAGCATCAAAATATAGTATAGCAGACTCAGGGACAAGACAGGTTGGCTTCAATTTCCAGCTCTGCCAGTCACCTAATCTCCCCAGGCCTACATCACCATCTGTAAGATGGGTTTAAAATTACCTACCTTCTATACCAGGCCTGCTTTTTCTTTCTACTCTATGCTGTCTTTGTTCTTAGGCACAATTTCCTATGTTAAATTGTTGGTAAGGATTGGTATCCAGGATGCCCTGAGCCAGAATAATATGGTTTTAGGTTCGAGTAAGCTATGCCTGCTTCTCTGTCCCAGTGGACCAGGAACACCTCCAAAGCAGTTTCTGGTTAGCCACCCAGCACTAGCCCAGGCAAAGGCCTCAGATGTTTCATGGGTTGCATTCTGGGATGGACTTTGCCAGTCATACATTCCCTTCTACACATACAAGAAAATACTTTCCTGTACAATGTGGCAGGAGGTGAGATACTCCCAAGGGACTTTGTGATCCCCTACTACTTCCTGTCTGTTTTCTAAGCCCAGGCTTCTGCCCTGTCTGTCATCAGCAGAGATGGATACCATTTCCCCTCTTCTCTGTCCTTAAATGACAAATCAGTGAGGCAGATCTTACTGTGTTATCAAGCCACAACACAACACCTTAATTAGCTCTTAAACTGAGCAGCAACAACACTATCTGGGAATTTTTTTCTACATTATGTGCACAATGCCATGTGGTGTCATGAGACTTGAGACCTAGGTTCTAGGTTTGGCCTGAAGCTAGCCAGGGTTTGATTCAGCCTCTGTTTCCCCAGCTGTGAAAGGGAACACTGGTTCTGCTCACTTCTTGGGAATGCTAGTGAGACCTAGAGGAAACTCTCCAGAAGGTGGTAATGTTTCCAATTGTATAACAAAGCTGGAAGGGAGGAGTTTAAATTCCTTCCTCCAGATACTCTGGCCTTGTGTACTGTAAGTTCTCAGTAGATATTAGTAAATGGGAAAGACAGGGCATGAACTAGAATTTCCAACCTCAGTGGACACAGACTCAGGTGGAAACACTGAGCCTTTCCACAGTAAATACACATGCAGGTGGACACACAACTTGGCATGTGATTGACTGATTGATCAACATGATTTCAGATTGCCTAGGACCGAAAGATTTTCATGTGGGGTTCTTGAGCTTAGTGGTTCTTTGTTCCAATATAAACTTGTTATGGAAACCTCTTCCCTCAAGGGCCAAGAATAAAGGTCCTACCCCTATGCCAGGCAAAGGATTTCTGCCCTAGGACTACCTGGTCTGACCAGGCTGTCATACCTGCCTTTCACATAAAGGATGCAGGACTGGGAGGTTAGGGACAGATGAAGTTTAGTCCTGCTTCCTCATGGATAGGACAGATGAGATTTGCTTACTGTGTTTATTGGTGATACCTCAGGGAACAGGATGTTTTCATCTCAGGGATCTTACACAAGTTTATGTTCTATATTATGCTGCTCCATGAGAAGTAGAGGCTACAGGACTAGGCAGATTCTCAGAGCCCACCTTTGTCTCTTCAGGGAAATTTTGGGGGCCAGGAAGCTCCCAGAGTATACTAATGTGAGGGTTTCAGAGATTCCCATAAGTCATTTTCTAGCCCCCCCCCCAACTCCACTTTCTCCATGGGGCTCAAGTTCAGGCTCTGATGGGTAGGAGTGGGGATGTGGTCGCAAGCATGAGACAAGTACACAAGGAAGCCCTGGCTTCCAGACCTACCCTGGCCAGGCTTGAGGCTTAGACCGTGGCACTCCTCCCAAGGGCACCAAGTATCCTTCACCAGTCCTCAAGGAGAGTGGGCAGGGGACAGACAAGGGTGAAAAAACATGCTATGGTCTTGACCTTCTAGACACACAGACACACACACACACACACACATACACACACACACACACACACACACACACACACACACACACACACACACACACACACACACACCATTCCCCACACACATACCCCTGAGGACCAATTAGATTTATTTGTAGGCAGGCTGAATTGAATTTTTGGGAGTCATTCTCCTTTCCACAGATTAATGCCAGGGAGTCAGGTAGTTGGCACGACTGTGGAGAAAAAAAGATGCAAGAAATCCTGAGGAGAAATCAAGGCCTTCCCCAGTCCTTTCCTGTGTAGCCAGATTTCTACCCTCAAAGCTTTAAAAACACAGTTTTATTTCAGCCCATGTGTAGTCAGGAGCCTTCCATGGCTCCCAATTTCCTTTTATATGTTTGTGGCTGTTCTTGGCTTTCAGGCTCCTCCCCCTACCCCTTACCTCAGCCTTACTTCCACTGATCTCCAACCATGAACTACTTCACTCAATTTTTCTTTTAGTGAACCTCCTCTGTCAGGAGTAAATCCAAAGTTTTCTCTTGTGTGTGTACATAAGGAAAGCACCTTCCCCATCAACAATGATAATAAAATAATCTGGGTGCCATATGCTAGGGATGCACAGGTGATAATGGAATGCGAGGTGGTCTTTCTTCCCTGAGCAGAGAGCCAGGGAAGACTTCATGGAGGAATAGGAAATCTGGGTTAGCTTGGAAGAGTGAAGAGGCGTTTTCCATGCTGAGGAGGAAGGACTATTTAGTGCAAAAACAGTGCACGGTTGTGCTGGGGTGCCTGGCAAGCACCAAGAGTTTGGTATTGCTGAAGTGTGCAAGTAGGGCTAGGAAGGTGTGAGATGGGCAGATTATGAAGATGCTTGAAGATCTCACAGTACTCTTCCTCCTTTACATTTGAGGACCTTTGCTCTAGGGTGACCCTGAGAGTACCAACCTCTCCTCCCAGGGCAGCCTTAAGCAAGCCCCAAGACCAGATGGGGTCATGGTCAGCCTTTGGGAGACAAGGGACAGGTCATTCCTTACCTGTAATGGGATCCAAAGGTTCTGAAAGCATTCCTGGAAAAAACAAAAAACAAAAACCAACAACAACAACAAAAACCATGGAGAGAGGACCTCAAGTGGGAAGGGGCCTCCACCACCAAGGGATCACAAGCAACCTTCTCCGTTTAATGCCTCCATTCCCAAAGCAGAGAGACACCAAGGACTGGACAACAAGGTGCTTGGTTGGGTAGGAATTCGGTATTTTTGAAATAGCAATTTCCTGTGCTATATTGGGACTAATGGATACTTCTCAGGCTTTCTATTTGCAAAGAGCATTGGACATGTGCCCGGGGAAGTGGCCAAGACCCCACCTTCCCTCCTCCGGACATGGGGTCCTGGGGTGCCTGGCGTCACTTACAGCGCGTTGTAGGGCAAGGGCTTCTGTCCGAAGCGGTCTACATTGGGGCTCTGATTGAGACAGTACTGAACCGGGCCACAGGGAGAGGCTAATAAGATGGGGGATCCAGACCCCCATCCGCGCCTCCCCCGCCCCCCCCCCCCCCGCGGCACTCCCTACTGGAGATCTTGGCCCTGGGGACCAGAGAACCCAGGCCTCAGCCTCCTCTGTCCCCCAACTTAGCCATTTCCCACCAGAACCCCCGGGAGGATATCCTTCCCTACCCGCCAGTTCTGGGTCACTTCGGGCTTTAAGCGTCGCACCCCGTAGCCGCAGAAATGCTCCACTGCGGAGAGAGCCCACCTTGGAGGACCCCACATTCCCAGCAAGCCCCGCCTCCACACACAAGCCCCGCCCACAAGCCCCGCCCCGACGCCAAGCCCCGCCCAGCACGGAGACTGGCCAAAGCCCCGCCCCACCTTCGTTCTGCTCCCAGCGCAGCGCGCTCTTCACTGAAGCCCGGGGCAAGCCCAGTATCAGACCCGGTTCCTCCCGTTCTAGAACCGTCTGAGCGCCCAGTATCAGACGCAGGGCTCACTGGACCAGGCCCTGGCCCCCTCCCCGCGACGAGCGCCTCCGAACCCACAGCAGGTCTCCGCCTCTCCTGCAGGTGGCCCAGCGGCGCCGGCCTCGCAGGTCTCCGCTCCCCCGGGGCCGTCTGGCTGTCCCCGCCCCTCCTCGCTGTCCTGGGCTTCCCCTCCCCCTGCCATCCCCCCCCCCCCCACACACAGTCCCCGGCCTCCTCCCCGCTGTTCACCTCCCCCCCCCCCACCGGCACCCCTCCCCGCTGTTCACCTCCCCCCCCCCCACCGGCACCCCTCCCCGCTGTTCACCTCCCCCCCCCCACCGGCACCCCTCCCCGCTGTCCCCGCTCTCCTTCCCGCCCTTCTTCCGCCCCAGAGCATCCTCTGACCCTTCTTGCTTGGGCAGGGCCTCTTGAACTTCTCGCCTGAGCTCAGGAAGCGGGACCAGTCCTCAATGGCGTGCTTGTAGGAGGGCCACCTCACGCAGTTGATGCCTGGAGCGATGGGCTGCAGCTTTCCCTCTCGGTACTTATCGTGGAGCTTCTGGCCGCTTTGTGTGATGCCCTGCCGGGGTGGTAGGGGTCAGAACCACTGCAGGTGGCGAGACTCGTGGGCCGGTAGGGGGCGGGGGGGGGGGCTGAGTTGGCATTTGACCTGTTGGTCTGAGTTGGTGCCCCAGGTCAAGGGCTTGGGGGGTGGGGGATGGGGGTGGGGTCCAGGCAGGCCGCTGAGGGCAGTCTTTAGGGGTAGAGCCCAGGACCAGAGGGGGCTTGGGACCAAGTGGAGGCTGGTGTCCTGGAGCAAATCCAGGACCAGGGCAAAGGGCACTCACCAAGCACTGCAGAGGCTTGTTGGGGACCCCCAGGAGTGAGAACCGGACATTGTCAAACTCATCTGTGGAGAGAAGATAAAAGGAGAAGAGGTGTTCCCCCCACACAAGAGAGGTTTACTCACACTACGCTTTAAACTTAGAATTAAAAATGCTGGCTTTTCATCATCTAAAATGGCATCATATTTCATCTTTTACAATAGAGTAGATTCCATACAGATCAATGTAAATAAAAAAATGAAGCCATAGAATTACTAGAGGAAAATGTGGGCATATTCCCTTATAAATAAGGAGCGTCATTGTAAATAGAAGCCAAATACTTACAAGATTAATAACTTTGATTGCATAAACATACACTTCTGCATGACAAAATATAAGTTAAAAGATAAATGAAAAAATAGTTCTACCAATTTTACATGAGGCAATTCCTCTAATATTTGCAAGAGCTCCTAGAAATCAAGACTGAAAAAGAAGCAAAAGGCTACACAACATTGTATAGATAGCTCAACTTTATTTCCTAAGAAGAATGTATATTTATTTGTTTTGTTTATTTTTGTGCTGGTACTGGGGCTTGAACTCAGGGCTTAGGTACCATCCCTTAAGCTTTTTCACTCAAGGCTAGGACTCTACTACCCAAGCTACAGCTCTACTTCGTTTTTTGTTTGTTTGTTTGTTTTGTGTGTGTGTGGTTAATTGGAGATAAGAATCTTACAAACTTTTCTTCTTTGGCTGAATTAAAACTATGACTTACAAAGTTTGAATAGCTATACAGCTTCCTAAATAGCTATGATTACAAGTGTGAACCACTGGTGCCTGGCAAAAATGTTTTTGCTGAAAAGCACTGATTCCTTACTTGGGCCCACAAATCAACCAAAGGCAGGAAAGAAGTTTGGCATCCCTACCTCCATTTTTGTAACTGTCTTTGAGCCATTCTTTTGTTTTTTGTTTGTCAGTTGTAGAGCTTGAACTCAGGGCCTGGGCACTGTCCCTGAGCTCTTTTGCTCAAGGCTAGTGATCTATCACTTTGAGCTACAGCTCCACTTTCTTTTTTTTTTTTTTTTCCACTTTCAGTTTTTGAGTGGTTAACTGGAAATAAGAGTCTCATGGGGACTTTTCTGCTTTGAACCAGGATCCTGAGATCACAGCCTTCTGGTGTAGCTAAGATTATAGGTGTGAACCTCCGGAGCCCAGCTTGAGCCATTAATCTTGCAGTCCTTGCAATCTAGGAAGGACAGGACTGAGGATAACCTGTCAGCAAGGAGGAAACAGCTCCCAAGGAAAGGAACAGCAGAGCGCTGGGAAGATAGCTCAGTGGAAGAGTGCTTGCCTTGCATGCATGAGGCCCTGGGTTCAATTCCTCAGCACCACATATAAGAAGAAAAAGCCAGAAGTGGCACTATGGCTCAAGTGTAGAGCGCTAGCCGTAAGCTGAAGAGCTGAGGGACAGCCCCCAGGTCCAGAGTTCAGGCCCCATGACCGACAAAAAAAAAAGAAAGAGAAAGGAACAGCAGAGCCTCCTAGTACAGACCACTCACCAGGCAACAATGTCTTGCATATTCTGAGCAGTTGCTCTCTTCAAATGATGACAGTGATAACCCCTTCTTCATGATCCCTTCAGGACCAACCAGCCACACTTTGACCTGGAGTGTTTAATAAAATCTTTTGTCTATTGAAACCTAAAGGTAATGTCTGTACCTGGAAGATGGACTGAAGTACTTTCATCCCGAGGCGTGCCTATGCCTTGTAATAAATCTTTCTCTGCTCTTCACCACTATTCTTTATTTGGTGTGTTGGGGCCAGTGGCTGAATCTAACATGAGGAATCCCAGGCGTCTGAGATCGGAACCTAAATCTCTAGTTTCATTTTGGTCCTGTGGTCCTATATGGACACAAGTGTTAGTGTGGGATGAAGACCCGTTGCAGTGTTGTGATAGTAAATGACTGGGAACAACTCTAATTTCTATCATTAAAGGACTGGTTAAATAAATCATACCACATCTGTACTGTGCAGTTCTTAAAGATAATGTGAGAGCCAGCTATAGTGGCACACACCTGTAATTTCAGGATTCAGGAGGTAGAGGCAGGAAGATTGTGAGTTTGAGGCCAGTCTGTACTACATGGCAAGGTCAAGGTCTGCCTGAGCTATACCTTGAGACCCTGTCTCAAAAACCAAGGCTAGGGGATGCTGAGAGCCAGTAGTTTACACCTGTAATCCCAACTACTCAGGAGGCTGAGATCTGAGGCTTGTGGTTCAAAACCAGCCAGGGCAGAAAAGTCCCCATGAAACTCTTAACTCTAATTAACCACTCAATAACTGGAAGTGGTACTGTTTGCTCAAGTGGTAGAGAGCTACCCTTGAGCACAAAGAGGCTCAGGGACAGCACCCAGTCCCTGAGTTCAAGCCCCACAACCAACAAAACAAAACAAAACAAAAACTAAGGCTGGGGATGTAGCTCAGTGGTAGAATACTGACCTATCATGGCACACGCTAAGGCCCTGGGTCCCATCAGTAGTATCACATACACAAACACACAAGTGATAACTTGATATCACTTGTTTAGAATTTGAAGCTTAAGATTACTGGAGGCAGAAAACAATATATGTTTAGGTCACTTCCTTAGCCAAGTTTTTAAACACAGCAGCATGCACAGTAGGTGGCCCAGTTCCCCTCTTGCTGTATTAGGGCCAACATGGCCTCTGTCACTTGTTGAAGACTCTAGCCAGCATTGTTTACCTGACTGATCAGGACTCCACATGCGACCCATATCTTCTCCCTCATTCATGGGACAGGCCTTTGGGTATGCTTAGGAGGAGTTCAGGGATGAACTCCTAAAGGGGTGCTTAGGAGAGATCCAGAGGTTCCGGGGTGACTAGTCACAAGTTCTTGTTACAATTTTTATTTTTCCTACTATAGCAATCTCCTCACAGTTCTCTCTCCATTAATAAGACAAGAAAGACGCACTTGTCCATACAAGATACTTTTTTTTTTTTTTTGGGTCCAGTCGTGGGGCCTGAACTCTGGGCCTGGGTGCTGTCCTTCAGCTCTTCAGCTCAAGGCTAGCGCTCTACCACTTGAGCTACAGCGCCACTTCTGGCTTGTTTCTTTTTGCATATGTGGTGCTGAGGAATCGAACCCAGGGCCTCATGCATGCAAGGCAAGCGCTCTACCACTGAGCCACCTTCCCAGCCCCCATACAAGATTCTTGTCTCTTACCATGGGAGAATTTGCTGTGACCAGGCCATCACCAGCTGGGTGTGGTGGTGCACCGCTGTAATCCCAGCACTCAGGAGACTAAGGCAGAATGATCAAGGCCAGCCTGGCCTTGAGACCTTAGCTCAATAACTCACACAAGTCAGGTGCCAGTGGCTCACACCTGTAATCTTAGTTTCTCAGGGAACTGAGATCCAAGGATTACATTTTGAAGCCAGAAAGAAACAGAAGACCATGCCAGGGCAAGAAAGTCGATGAAACTCTTATCTTCCAACAAAACGCTGGAGGTGGAGGTGTGGCTCAAGTGGCAGAGTACCAGACCAACTAGTGGCAGACAAACAAAAGACCCAAAGGGGCCTGGTGCCAGTGCATGGCGAGGTGCCGACCTTTGCTGCAATAGGTGGAGGACTGGCAGTGTGTGTCGGGGAGGCAGGCCTTGACTGAGTCCATGTCCATGCGGCGCAGGGTGGGCAGGGCTGGGTGGTAGAGCTGATGCTTCACGCCGGCCAGCTGGTTGCGCTGCCGCTCCAGTGGGAGTAGGATGGCTGCAGAACCGTCGTCACAAGGCACCACGTCAATGATGTGGGCCATAGCTGGGTAACGGGGTAAAGAGCATTCAGTTTAGGCTCCTGCTGGTCAGAGACCTTCCACACAGGGACACACCTTTAGCCTATGAGTCAAGCACTTATTGACTCTGATCACACACACACACACACACACACACACACACACACACACACACACACACACACAGACTGCACCCAGGGCTGTGAAGGAGTCAGTATAGGAGGAGAGGTCTGGCAGTGTGGGAAGGCTCGTATTGGGGGTTCAGGGAATGGATTAAGAGAGGTGGCATTTGAGTCTTGTAAGGAATAAACAGGAAAAGGAAGCCACATACCAGTTGAAAAGGAGCTCAAATCTAATTGTGGATATGACTTTGCTTAAGACATCTGGCCTTTTCCCAAGACTCTCCAGAGAGATAGTTGTTTTCAAGAAAGGGAAGAGGCATAGTAGATTTGAACTGGAGGAACATGGCTAGAGATGTACTGTCTGCTTTTTAGTGTATGGTCTGTTTTAGCTTGAATTGAAACAAACTCCTTTTTCTTTTTCTCTTTCTTTTGTGGTGCTGGGGATGAAAGCCAGGGCCTTTGGCATGTTAAGGAAATGCTATGCCACAGAGCTACATCCACAACTCTTAGTGTCTCCCCTTTAAAAAGCAGATATTCCCAGGACCTCCTTCCAGTCATTTACACTTTAGTAGGAATTAGACTATGTTTACTATCTTCCCTACTTCACGTTGGAGATGAGAGATGGAGAAGGGGCTGGGTGAGTAGAAAGGAAGATGGCTTTAGACTATGGAGGGTGACAAGGCCTGAGGAAAGTGCCTAGGGGTGCAGAGGTAGGGGATGGAACTTGATGGGGGTAGAGCAGGGAAGGAAGAAAGGCTTCTCTGCTTCTACCCACCAACAATGCTACCTTGTTTTCAGGACACAGATCCAGGTACACAGGCTTTTAAGGACCTTGTGTTCCTCCACCATTCGGTGGGCAGGAGGGGGAGGGGAAGGACTGGGCTGATGCACAGCCAGAAGGGAACACTGTACGGAGACAATGCCCGTTGCAGCTGGATTGTGAGGGCGCTGCGCTTAGCAACGTCGCTACGGTACCCAGACACTGGGCCACTCCCCTTCAGCCTTCTTAAAGACCAGGCTTGGGTGGGCCAGGGGCAGCTGCTGAGCTGACCTCAAGCTGTGTGATGCTGGATTAATAGACCTCTCTCTAGGCCACAAGGATCCCAGGCCCTGCATTAAGGCTGTCCCCTCCCGCAAACCTCAGGGAGGAGCATGTTGCTACTGCACTGTCTGCTGGCCCTTGGGGCTCTAGGGCTGGAGATTAGCTGTAGCCAGAATCCAGGGTCAGTGCAGGGATAAGGGAGAGTGGTGGCCTCAGCAGGCCAAGGATTAGGAGCTGATACTCATCCCCACCCGCCGCCTGCAGGACCCCAGGCCTCCTTTCTCCCAGGAAAGTCAGGCTATGGTGCCTGAGTGCTGGGATTGGAGGCAGATCTCCCTGGCTCCCTCCCCCACAGATGAAACAAACAAACAAACAAATCCTGGGAGAGCTTGGCTCATTTGCATATATTGGGATATGCTTTGCATCTATCCTTCCAAGTACTCAGCCACTACCAGAGACCTGGTAGGACTTGGTTCCTAGTTGTTCCTTTCCTTGTCCTTCATGGGAAACCTGAATAGCATCCCCAAGTCCTGCTCTGAGCAGAAAACCTTCCCTGAGATTCCACTATCACACTATCATAGCCCCAGCTTAGTTTTTAACTCTTAAAGTTATATAATAGATAAAAATACAGAAAGCACATAGACATTACTAGTAATTTGTAAATCAAGACCCTCCACTACTTAGGACCTGCAAAACAGTAGCATTTTCTTACAAAGGAGGCCGGGTGCTGGTGGTTCACACCTGTAATCCTCGCTACTCAGAAGGCTGAGATATGAGAATCACAGTTTGAAGCCAGCCCAAATAGGAAAGTCCGTGAGACTCTCATCTCAAACTAACTACTAGGAAACTGGAAGTGGTGCTGTGGCTCAAAGTGGTAAAGCACTAGCCTTGAACAGAAAAGCTCAAGGATAGTTCCCAGGCCTTGACTTCAAGCTCTACAATTGACAAAATCATTTAAAAAGTAAAACATGAGGGTTGGAGATGTGGGTCAGTTGGTAGAGCACTAGTCAATGAGCAAAAGTGGCATGTCCCAAGTTTGAGTCCTGGTCTCAAACCTAAAAAAAAAAAAAAAGTAAAAAAGCATGAAGCTGGATGTGGTGGTAATGCACTGTTAAATTACCAACACTTGAGCTTAAGGCCAAGCTTACAGCAAGAACCATTCTCAGAAACCAAAGGAACAAAGGCACAATGCTTATGTGCATCTGATCCTATACAATAATATTCATCAAAAGGAACTTCAGGATATGAAAACAAGAGGGTTTTTGGTTGCTGTTTTTGTTTTCTTTCTGTCTTGTTTATCTGTCTGTGGGAGGGTAAAGGGGGCACAGAAATGGAGGGACTAAGGGTGAAAAAATGCACCGGTGGTACTCACTAGACACTGTTGAAAGTGAACTGTACAACTTGTGAGTAGGGATGGGAGGGAAAAACTGGGAGTGAGGGAAGGGGTGACATTGGCCAAAAAGAAATGTACTCTTTACCTGACTTATGTAAATATAACCCCTCTGTACATCATCTTTATAATAACAATAAAAACGAACAAGAACACCTGGGAAAGGTGGCTCCTGCCTCTGGAGTATCATGGTTCAAGGCCAGCCTGGGCATCACTGTTATTGTGGCATGGAGATCCTCTGGAATCTGACCCTACCCACCTCTCAGCCTCATCTCTCCCTTCCCTGAATCCATCGAGATCTTCCCCCTCCATCCCCCTATTTCCCTTTTTGGTCCCCAAGGCTCATTCCAGCCTAGGGATTCTACTCTAGCACTGCCCTCTGTGGCTTGGAGCACTGTCCCCTGGATCTTGGCAGCTGAGTCTTATTGCATTTCTGGTCTCAGCCCCTTTCCTTGGGCTTCTCCTAGGCCTGCCTGCCCTTTGCCCATCACCCACGTCTCTGTCCTGTTGCTTTCTTTCCTGATTCTTCCAATACTGTGCAATGGTTGTTTATTTCCTTTTTGACTTCTTCCTTTCTGCCTCTGCCCTTGCCCTCAGGGCAGGTACTAAATCTGTCTTGTTCAAAATGCCAAGATCAGCCTGCGTCCAGGCACACAGGAAGAGCTCCAAAAATGTCAGCTGGTCATGTCCAGCCCCTACATCTTTGTGAATACCCCTTGGAGGCATCCCTCATCCTGTTCCTGCTACTCTCTGAGCCCTTTTCCCCTAGGCCTCTGCTCCTTGTACACCTTCTGCAGAGGTCTCTGTCTCCTTTTGAGGAGAAGCAGTTTCTGGGTGCAGTCAGTCACCTGAGAGGACTTAGGTTCTGAGATGGGTAATGTAGTGTGTCAATTTGACCTGACTGAGGGATGTTCAGAGAACTATAGTGTGTTATGGGTGAGTCTATGAGGGGTCTTTCTAGAGAAGATTGGCAGCTCATTAAGTGTGGAAGACCCACCCCTAATGAGGGCACCATCCAATCATCTGGGACCAGATGGAACCCACTGAAACTGGAAGGTGAACAATGGGAAGGAATCCTCTCTGGTTCTCTTTCCTCCAGTGGCTGCCTGGGCTCTTTGTTTCTTAAACTCTGGGACTTGTACCAGGCGCCCTTGGGGGGCTGTAAAGGTCACGGCTGTACTGTCATTGTTTTTTTTTCTATGGAGAGTCCTGGGTAATACAGATTTGAGCTAAATGGTCCACCGGGGCGAGGGGCCGCTTTGTCAGAGGTCAAACTATTGAAGACTATTATCGGCAAAGAGCCTACTGAGCCCCAGCATTGGGACTGGAGAATTGGGGTACACCTTCTGCATTGCTCACTGAGCTGCAGAGCCGTTGATGTCTGTGGTATCTTCCAGAACACACAGGGCTCCAAGCAGTTGCTCTCTCAGGAGCTTCTCTGTGGCTTGGCCCTGATATGTGAGGAGTCAGGTCCTGGGACCTGGGCAGGTTCTCTGGTAAGCCAGGGAAGGGGCCCATATCTAGGACCTAGCTTCCTACTGGACACCACAGTGGAGAGGTGCTGCTTGCTCCCCAGATGTCAATTGCCTCCCCCCCTTCCCATACCCGCTAATCCTTTGCACACGACCTGTCTAGCTATTGCCAATTAATCCCTCCTGTGTTGGAGAGGCCAGCTTTGAGCAGCAGTAAAAAGACAACTCCCAGCCGGCAGCTGGCATCAGACCAGGTAACTCAGTTGGAGGTTGAGGGGGTGCCCTAGGGAGACCCCATGCTTAGCGTCTTGCCAGGCATTTAGCACCATGAAATCGTGCAGGTGGGAGACCTGGCATTTTAGGGACTATAGCATGCATTATAATCACCAGCTTGTGAAATGCAGGTTCCAGGAACCTCTGGAGGGTGGGAGTGGGGACCTAGGAAACTGTATTCTCTCCAGCTCATCAAAGCTTCTTCATCAAGGCTGCTTGGCACCATAGTCTTCCTGGCCATCTTGCCAGAAGGTTCCCTTCTGGCCTGAACCTCTCTCATCAAAGTGGAATCAGCAGAGCCAGGGAAGCAAGATGTGTGAGGGTGGGGGTGGGGAGGGGAAAGAAGAAAAGCTGTTCTTGGAGGCGGCTTGTTTGGTCATTTCTAGAAGGCTTAGAAATGCAAGACAGGATTGTTGCCACTGAGCAAATGTCAAGATCCTGTACCCGCCCCTTCCCCTTCCCCTCGCAGATGTGCAGCAGCTGGAATTGGGCAGACTTGCATGTAAACAGGGCTTGATCACTTGCTGACCTGTTTGTGCTCCAGAGATGAGAGTATGTCCCTTGCTGGGGGCGGGGCAGGCGTGGGGAGAGTGATCAAGGTGGGGAGGGGGGATTCAGCTCACTTCATGCTCATGGGACTGCTATGGGCTGGCTGGGGTTCATGGAATCTGAGCTCCCAAGTGTGTGACCTTGGAAATCTCTGTGCCTACCTCTGCCACACACATGCACGCTCACCAGGAAAGGGGAAAAGAGGGGTCATATCTGGCTCAAGTTCATATTTTTTGGAGGCTGATCTGACTCCCCATTGAACTTCACTTCTACCACAACCTCTTGGGAGAAAGGCTGCATGCATGGCTGAGGTCAGAATAGGGTCAGAGGTCAGGGCGGCAGGTAGGTGGGGCAGCATGGCCTGGAGCTCCGGGAAGCTGGCACTGTGGATGGATGGTAGGGACCCAGGTCATCGTCCTGCCCTTTCATCTGGGGCTGGCATTTCTAGCAGAAAGCAGTGGTAAGCAGAGTGTGGTTTGGTGTGTGCCTGTGTCCAGTGTGGTTGTGGAGGGGCTTGTCCTGGGCTGAGAGTTTGTACTCATTGTCTTGGATGGTGCCAGCTGGGCCGGGTCATCCTGCAGGGACTCAGTTCCACTGGCCAGTCCCTGAAGGTCAGCGGACTAGATTTTGAAGAGGTCCAAGATAAGATTGAAGTGTCACTGAAAACCATAAAAAAGAGTTTCGGTTGGCATTGTAAATACCTTATGAATTAAAAAAATACAAGAGCATAGGTTGACATTGTGGTCTCATAATGTACTTAAAAAAAATTGACTATGAGATTCTATGGTACATGAAGTTCCACAGTTAGTGTGTTCATTTAATGTCTCACCGAAGTTGGCCATGGCCAATTTTTGTGAAACCCTCAGCAGGTGCCTATCTCTGGCAATTTCATTTTCTGCTCACAATCTGCCTGTGCGGTAGGTACCAAGCAATACCGCCATTTTACAGACAAGCAAACTGAGGCCTGGACTGTCTCACAAGAGCCCTAGAGTACATATATCTCCTTAGTTTAAGGACATTTACTTCTTTTAGATAGGTTCATGTATTCAATTATTGAGTACTTTAACTTACTTAACATATTTCCCTCTACCAACTTCTTTCTGCGTGTAGGTTTCTGGCCTCGAGTATTTCAATGAGATAAATACATACTTGGGGACATAGTTGCAGAAATATTTTTAAAGATGATGAGTCAAAAAGAAAATGTGATAACTCAGAGAAGTGACCCCCATGCTCGGCACAGCCATGAGCTCTCTGGCCCTTACAGGTGTGTCAAGATGATGTTGGGCTGGGTCCAGAAGGTACTGCCTCAGCCCCCAGGAACTCCCCAGAAAACCAAGTTGGAGGAAGAGGAAATAACAGAACCACAGCCAGAGCCGCAGGGAGAGCTGCAGCCAGAGCTGGACTTACAGCCAGAACCACAGTCACAGCCTGAGCCTGAAGCAGCTCCTAAGGAGGCAGTACCAGAGGATGAGGCCCTGGTAAGAGGTGGAGGGTGAGGAGGAGGAGGAGGTGAGGCAGGCTGGCTTTGCTGCTCAGTGACTTCCCAGTTTGGGCCACTTGTTCCCCATGAATCTTCTACAGCAGAGAAAGTTGGAGCTGGAAGGAAATGTGGTGGTTGTCTGGTCTAGTGATTGTACTAATGAGGCCACAAAGGCTCAGAGATTGGACAGGAACACCAGAGTTGTATCTTTAAATAGATCTGAAGGAAGTACTTTAGGCTTTGTAGGCCATGACATTAGTTACTAAGCTCTGCCACATAATATGAAAGATGCTGGGCTAAACAAATGAGCATTGCTGTGTGCCAATAAACTTTATAAAAACAAACAAAATGCCGACTAAGACTCAGGAATCATATTTTGCCATCCTCTAAAGTGCAACAGTCCTGCAAAGTAGCCAGTCCATGATCTGTTATCTTCCATGATGAGATTAGAGCATTATTCTAGAATGTATTCTAGAACTAAGCGAGCACACCATTTAATTCCAACTCAATGTTGAAAGCAAGGAGTTAATACACACTCTGGTACAACCTATTTAGCCATCACGGACCACTGACAGTTTGCAGACTAGCACTAGTCCATGTGCCACATATTGAGGAGCATTTTTCTAGAATTTTCCTTTAAGCATATCAAAACTTGCCAGATCTGCATCTCATTCATTCAGGAGCCTGATGACAAGTAATTTAGGAGACTCAGTTAAGCAGATTTCATTCAGTGTATCTGACTGAGAATCATGGGAGTTCAGAGGAGAGCAAAATCTTAAGTTTAGAGCTGGGAAGCTGTCGGCAGTTCATCCTAGACACAGGTCTGGGCAGGGTTTTAACTGAGGGAGACACAGAAGCCAGCATTTCTAGAGGAGGAGAGGCCATTACTGAGAGCATGTTTAGGAAGAGGCACAGGGTTTGTGTGTGTCTATACCTATGGGCATACAAGTGCAGGTTGGCATGTCTGTGGCATTATATCTGTGTGTATGCATCTGTATTTGCAAAATAGGCATGATGCCAATATATGCGTGCTTTCATATCCATGTGTCTTAATTATGTGTCTGTGTTAGTGTTTCTATAGTTCCATGTGTATGTGTGCCATGCTTCTGTGTGCATATGTGTATATGTTTCTGAGTATGCAAATATATCCAGATGTTGGTGTGTGAACAGGTATGTGTACATATTTTTATGTGTCTGTGTGCATAAATATATAGACACATTTTGTGTGTCTATGTATGCTCAGGTATGGTTTTAGATACAGAAGTTTGTATCTAAGCAAGTACACTTATGTGACTTACATGTAAATCTGCATGCACACAGGTATGTACAGTAGCATGTTTGTGTGCCTGTATGAACATGCACATATCATTGTGCCTGTTTCTGTGACTAAGCATATATATGTATGTGTATACCATCTTTCTATGTCTATGTAAATATACAAATGTGTCTACACAATCTGTACATACTAGCAAGTCTATGCATCTGTGCGTGTATACACAATGGGTGTATTGCCAGTGTGTACATGCATTTGTATATGTACAAAAGTATACTTTGTGTCTAGACATGTGTTCACGTGTATGTGTGCTGATGCACTTAGCATGTGCACACATACATATGCTTATGTTTGTGTGCCACTATTGTATGGGTGTAGATGTGTGCATGCTTCTATTTGTGTATCTATATAAATCTATGTGACTTACGCTTAATCTGTGTGCACACAGGTATGCACAATAGCAGGTGGTGTGGCTGCAGAGGCAGAGGAGCAGATGGCAGAAACGGGACCCTCCCAGTTGCTAGGGAGGAAGGAAAGTTTGGGCCAGAAGAGGGAGAGGCTTGGGTCTACAGCTCCTTCCCTTTCTCCTTTCCCTTCACATGTCCTAATCCTCTGTAACTCTGTTTCCCCCTCTCTTTGGCCACTGAAGTTAGGAGCTTCCCGGGGCCCCTCTTGGGGTATGAGCCCCCACTCTGGGTGAGAGGACCCTGGGCTGGGAGGAAGGATGTGATGCAAGTGGAAGATGAAGCCCCTAGGACTTGCAGAGATGATAGTGAGAGGGGGCTTCGGGGCTGGGGTTCCCTTGTGGAGGAGTCAGGCAGGTCTCACCTGGACTCACCTGGTACTGTTTGAACCCACCAGCCTCATGAAGAGCCAGCTGATGTGGAGGGAGTGGCTGAGGCAGACCCAGGCTTCCAGGGTGAGTGCTGGGATGCAGACCAAGAGGGGGATGAGTCCTCTCCTCAGAGCCTCACAGCAGCCTGGTTCATGGGTGGGGAAACCGAGGCTCAGGGACGCAAGGCTCCTGAACGCTGTTCAGCTTCCCTCTCCTTGGGGGGTGTATTCCTCCCTGCCTCTGACTTGCTCTCCCCAGCAGGGTGGAAGTAGGCTTTTCTGGGGGGCCTAGATCTGAAGGCTGGGGGACTTTTATCTTTTAAAATTTTTTTTTTTCAGAGACCCAGGAAGCTGTTCCTTCTCTACCCACAGCTCTCCAGACACAGGTCGCTGTGACTCCTGGAGAGAACAGGTACTCCCCCTCCTCTCCCTAGGGTCAGTGTCCCCACTTCCTGACAACCAGGGAAATTCCCAGGGAACGTAGGGTCTCCTAGGCCAGAGGAAAGGGAGGGTGGGGTTATGGCTGATGAGCTTCCTTACTATGGGGGCCAGAGGCATCTCAGGCCCAAGTCAGTGCTTCAGAGTTTTCCCAAGGAAGCCAGAAATCCCACCTCGTATGGCCTTCCTACTGGCCAAGGTGCTTGTCAAACCTTGCACATGTGATGCTGGGGCTGGCATTGGGCAGGGGGCTTGGGGCCCTCCAGGGGAGCTGACCAGCGGGGCACACCTCAACTCTTCTAGAGCACCAAGTATGAGAGTGCAGGGCAGGACATGGTGGTTCACTGGGCTGCACTATGCTGACCAGCCATAGGGTGGACCCCAAACAGCAGGGGGCATACCAGGCCTCACCAGAGACTGGTGTCTCCCATTTATACAAGACTCTGGTGGGGGACCTGGGAAGGTGGCTCAGTGGTAGAGCGCTTGCCTTGCATGCATGAGGCCCTGGGTTCGATTCCTCAGCACCATATAGGCAGAAAAAGCTGGAAGTGGCGCTGTGGCTCAAGTGGTAGAGTGCTAGCCTTGAGCTGAAGAGCTGAGGAACAGCGCCCAGGCCCAGAGTTCAGGCCCTAGGACCAACAAAAGAGAGAGAGTGAGAGAGAGAGAGAGAGAGAGAGAGAGAGAGAGACTCAGGTGGGAGGTGTCGCATCTGAAGTCTCACAGAGAGGTGACAGTCAAGCCAAGTCCTTCAGGCTACTTTGCTCATGGAGCAGGGTTGAGGATGGACTGGTGGCTTTGTCCCTTGGCAGTCCCAGCAGCTGGGTGCTAGCCTGGCTCTGGAAGGGCATGGAGAAGGTGGTGCCACAGCCGGTCTGCAGTAGCAGGGCAGCCGCTGCCGGAGCAGAGGACACAGCTCAGGTACTGTGGTGCTGCAGGTGGACTGGGGGGCAGGTTGGGAGGCTGTCCCCAGCTCCCTGCCATGTCTGCTGTCTGCATCCGGCAGGATGGAGAACACATCAAGGGGCCCTGCGATGCTGGAGACACAGGTACGACCAAGAGGCAGGACGGCTTTTCAGAAGGGAGCTGAGGGGCTGCTTGGGATGGGCCCTGCCCTAGGATGTCTGCATGGCTGGAGCTTCCCACTGATTTTCTGGTTGGAAAGATGGTGCCTGCTCCAGATTTGCTGGGCTCTGTGCCTTCTCTTGCAGCTAACTACCTCTTTGAATCCATTCTTTTCCTTCCTTCCTTCCTTCCTTCCTTCCTTCCTTCCTTCCTTCCTTCCTTCCTTCCTTCCTTCCTTCCTTCCTTCCTTCCTCTTCTTCTTCTCCTTCCCCCTCCCTTCCCCACTCCTTTCCTTCTTTCCTCATTGTTTTTATGGTTTTATTTGCAATTTGTCAATTCTTCTTTTTTTTTCATTGCATTTGTTTCAACTGATACATAAACACAAAAGCTGTATGTGTTAATGGGGTGCCATGTCATTTCACTACAAGTAGACATTGTATAATTGGGTCACATCTATCCATCTCCTCAGACAAAAGCAAAAGCACTCAAAATTCTTCTTTGAACCTTTTTGAGCTGGACAGCCCTCAGTGACAGTACGCAGTCACCCCACTGTGGGGTTGCACAGTAGAACTTCTGACATCTGTCTAACTACAGCTTAACACCCATTGAACAGCCTTGTCCTCCTCCTGCTTTTCATCTGCAGATGGGGCCCTTGGGGATCAGGATTCTGGGTAAGTCTATGTCACCGAGTGTCACCATTGTGTGGGGTGCGTGGTCCAGAGCTGACAGCCTGGGTCAAGGCCAGAGTCTAATGCTGCCACCTCCATGTGTGGCCTTGAGCAGCCTCTGCCCTCTTCTGGATCTTGCTTTTTTTCTTCCATCAAATGGGACAATGCACATGTGCTATCCATGTGTCACCTTCTGAGAATGGACAGGCGCACGGGTCAGCTCCTCACAGATGGGATGGGCTTCATGCAGGCGCTCTCGTGTGGAGCCCGGAAGGGCATGCGGATCACAGACAGAGTCAGTGGCTGTCCCCTCAGTGAGGGTGGCAGGCCGGGTGGGGACAGTGACAGATGAAAATCCTATACCCCACTCTACCAAGGAGCCCTGCTCAGATCCAGCTGCCTCTGCCTGGTGCCAGGCAGGCCCAGTGTGGTTAGAGCCTCCAGCCTTTTAAGAAAAGCCAGAAGCTGGGTGCTGGTGGCTTACATCTATAATCCTAGCTCCTCAGGAGGGCTGATCGTCAAAGGATCAAGGTTTGAAGCCAGCCTGGGCAAAAAAGTCTGTGAGGCTCTGTCTCCAAGTAACCAGCAAATGCCAGACTGGTGGCATGGCTCAAGTGGTAGAGTGCATCTGAGATCCTGAGTTGAACTTCCAATACCAGCAAACAAACAACACCCAAAAGAAAAGCCAGAAATCAATCCAAACATGGTATACACCTATTATCCCAGCTCTTAGGGAGGCTGAGGCAGGAGGATCCTGAGGTGGAGGCCAGTCTGGGCTACATCATGAAACTCTGTGTTGTGACAAAACAGCAAACACATAAGTCAAAAATCCAGGTTTTTGTCTGAAGCCCTTCATTTGTAGATGTTGCCAATCAATGGAGAAGGTTTTCAGGATGCTGTGGGCCTCCAAAGTAAGCCTGAAACGTCCACTTTGGGATTTATGCCAGAAATCCAGTCATGTATTCCACTGGACCAGTCATCTGGGCCACTCATTCCTTCACTCATTTGTTTGCTGCCTCCTTGCTGCAGCAAGGAAGGCTGGTGTGGCCTAGAGCCCCAGCAGGCAGTCAGGGTAGTATGGTAGGTCCCTCTTATAGGGCACCTCTCAGCTGACCACTAGCCCCTCCACAGACCCGGTCCATGGCTGATCAGGTGGCTGGAGCAGAATCTGGAGAAGGTGCTGCCTCAGCCCCCGAAACCCACGGAGGTAAGTGGTGAGTAGAAGAGGTGACATCTGACCTCCTGGTGGGGGGGGTCAGAACCCTGGAAGGGGGGGTGCATACTCCAACAGCCTATTCCCCTCTGAAACCCAGGGCCCACTGAGGGGTTGAGGGGTGGGGAAGAATGACTGCCCTGTGGCTATGGGAATTGAGAGCCCTCCTGCAAAGGCCTCCGGCTGGGGCACAACTGGGGGTGTGCTCAGGACTTGCTGTGATGCATTACCTGTCCCCTCGCTTGTTATCCAGGCCTGGAAAGCTGAGCCTGTGGATGCTGTCTTGGCCCCAGGTACTGGGAGGGCTGCCTGGGGGGGGGGGGGTGGTTACAGCCTAGGCTGGGGGCAAACTAGGAACTAGGGATCTCTGGGAAAGCCCTTAGCCTGCACTAAGGGTTTGGCAGGAGTATGATTGCCTGATTGCTGGTGGGGAGTGGGGGGTGGGGAGGGGAGACTGGAACCACTTTCCTAGCCTGCACTTAAGGTTGCATAAGGCTTGGTGGGCATGGCTTCTTTTGGGGGCAGTGGAACCTTCTCCCTAGTTTGAGCTGGGAAGCTGCAGGCCAGAGATAGACTTGGAAGATTTTGTGCACTCCCCATCCCTGGTGGGTTTGATGCTAAAGTTGTTTGGGGGCCCCAAGGGCTCCCCAGCAGCAATGCTAGTGCTTCCAATCTGGCTTCTGTACCCTGATGCCTTGCCACAGGGTCTTTGACTACTTGTCTCCCTGCTGCCTAGAGCTCCCAGAACCATCGCTGGAGATGGAGCTCACAGAGAGCCCCGCCCTGCCCAACCCGGGTCCCCTGGAGCCCGAGGAGGAGCTGTGTCCAGAACCCCAGCCTGGCTTTCAGGCATCCTCCCTGCCTCCACCCGGAGACCCTGCTAAGTAAGCGCCCCCTGCCCCTCACAACCCCAAAAGTGCCACACCACCCTCAGAGAGCTGGATTTTCTTAGCCCCAGGCCCTGACCTTCACAAAACTATTTTCTTAAGTTATAAATGAACACGTGTATCCGAGAGAAGATTCAGCCACTCTCTAGAAGCTTCCCCAGGCAACCACATCAGCAACTTCTCACCCCACCTCCTTGTTTCCTCCATCTGCCAAGCTGGTGACTGCACTTTTCCTTTGAACACACCTAGAGCATGCACACCTGAGATCCCAAGCATCAGGAGGCTGAGGCTGGAGGATCCTGAGTTTAAGGCCAGTCAGGGCTGCATAGAGAACCTCTATCCTAAGCCAAGAAAAACTAAGTCAAACGCTACACTTAGTGAGAGCAAACTATATGCATTCTTGTCGGGGTTTTTTGGTTGTTGTTTTTTACTTACAAATGTACCTTAAGGTAATTTCATGCACTTAACCTCTGTTCCATGGTTTTACTAGCTGCAAACAGCCATACACTGTCCCAGTCCATTGGAAACATGGGCTTTTGTTTATCCACTGAGTGGACACTTGGGTCCTTTCCACACTTTGGCTGTAGTCGGTACCATTGTATGCACATCCTCTGGCTTGTCATAAGTAAATCTGTGAATATACAAGTTGAATCAGATTTGCTTGGGCAGATTCTACATACATTTAAAAGTATGATGAGCTAGGTGCTGGTAGCTGAGGCCTATAATCCTAGCTACTCAGGAGGATTATACTCAGATCTGAGGATCAAGGTTTGAAGACAGCTTGGGCAGAAAAGTGAGTGAGACCTTTATCCCCACTTAACCAGCAAAACGCCAGAAGTAGAGCTGTGGCTCAAGTTGTAGAGTGCCAACCTTGAGTGAAAAAGCTAAGCAACCCACTAGATCCTGAGTTCAATACCAAGTACCAGCACACATGTGTGCATGCATGCATGCACACACAAGGAGGGATTTTCCAAGTGCACTGAGCATGCACATGAGAGGCCCGATATGCAGTTCTGGAGGAGAGAGGCAGCATGGAGAACCAGACACGCAGCCTGGTGGAGCCTGAGCTGAAGCCAGAACTTACCTGGGAGGGGTGGGGACAGGAGGGCTTGGCAGTCAGGGGTTGAGAAGTGGGGTCTGCTCTGGCAGGCTTGTTATCTACTTGCCGCGAGTGACTCTGGCCACAGTTACCCTCCAGCCTTTCCACTGGGAATCAGCCCCTTCCCTCTCATCACAGGCTGATGGCGTGGCTCCTACGCAGGCTGGAGATGGCCCTTCCACAGCCTGTGCTCCATGAGAAGGCTGGGGAGCAGGTAAGTGCTGCACCCGGGGGCTGGAAGCCCTAGGTTGCAGGAAGAGGGGCATCTTGGGAGCTCAGGTAGGGGGCAATAGCGAGCCCAGGACATGGGGAATCAGCCTTGCCTCTTGCCCCTCTTTACACACACATTGATTCCATGTACATCTACTGAGGTTGGGGCCACAGGGCAGTCCACCTGTGAACAGCGTAGGTCCAGCAGAGAGGAAGGAAGGCCTGACCAAGTCCTGGGCCTCTTGGTCCCTCAACAGTAGGACCTGGCCCGCTGAGCAGGTGACTTGCTGTGGTTCTCTTATAGCACCCCCACTTTGACTCCCAGGTGAGCCAAGGGGGTGGGTTGGGGAAGCTGATGAGGCAGTCATGGACTTTCCCCCCTTTTTTTTTCCTTCTGCAGCAGCAGCCTGGCTCCTTAGAGACGTGTGATGTGCAGACCAGTAAGTGAGATGTTAGTGGGTCCTCGTGTGCATCTCCTGAGGGCTGCTGGGTATTCTTGGGTCTGAGTTTGGGACACAATTGGCATCCCTGGAGCTGAGCATCCTTCCTGCTCTATCTCCTTTCTCATCAGCCCACCTAGGTAGCCAGAGCCAGATGGTGGACAGGGCTGCCACTCAGGCTGGGCTTCCAGCTTCTAGCCAAAGGAGTCCTAAGGTCAAGTGAATACCCTCTTCTTGTTGGCAGCATCCCCAGATATCTGGCTCCAGCCCTTTGCAGCAGGACAAGTGGTTTTGGCTGAGCCAAGCCCTGGTGATGGGGAAAGGAAAGGAATGGGTGTCCCTAGGGATCAGATCTGTGGGCTCCAACACTCCTGAGCTGGGAGGGGTCCCTCTCCTGCAGCTGGGTTAGGGAGGTATGTGCTGCTTTCTATTTCAGTTCTGAGCCAGGACTGGAGGACAGGGGATTGAGGCCGGGTAGCATAGGTGATGGGCAGAGCCTGCTCTTTCTTTACTTCGTGTGTCTCCCCCCCCAAAAAAAAATTGTAGACAATCATGTTTTCATTCAACAATTACCGATGGACAGCCCCGCTGCATGCAAGCCTGTGATGGGTTCTCGTGGTGAACAAAGCAGCCTGTGGCCTGTGGGTGTGGCAGCCCCTTTTCCATCCTGGACACATGACGTTACTCTGAGTGTCAGTCTTCCCAGTGATGCTCCCCACTGAGTCTGCAAAGCTGTGTCCAACCCCAGCCCCATGGGGTCAATGGTCTTCATGAGTACTCTGAAGCCAGTGGATGGCCAGGCACACAAGCCAGCAGCTGACTGTAGGCCTTGGTCTTGACAGAAAAGCCAGGAGAGAGGTGTTAGGGTTCACAGTTGCCATAACAACAACATGAGAAGGAGAGCCTTCCACCTCAGGGAGGGACACACTGGTCTCTCATGGGGCTCACTGCCATCGTGGAGGGTGCAGAGTAGAGCTGTCCGGAGCTCAGAGAGCTAAAGGCCCCACCTACAGTCACAGTGCAAATCTCATGGGGGTGAGGGGTAACAACTCTGTAATGTTGGCAATCGTGGCTTGGTCAGCAAAGTTAAGGGAGCCAAAGGGGCCTTCAGAGGCTGCAGAGGACTCAGGACAGGGCCCCTGTGCCTCCTGTCTTCCTCTCCACTGTCTTCAAAGGACTCAGGATTCTTAGCTCATTGACATCAGGGCTCGTTCCTGGGGCTGCCAGGATGAAGGAGCACACACAAGATGTCTCAAGACAGCAGGGCTGTATTCTCTCATAATTTGGAAGCCAGAGGTGGAGAGCCAAGGTGCTGGCAAGGCCTGGTTCTTCCCAAGGTTCTGTGGGTGACACCATTCCACCATTCTCCTGGCCACCCTTGGTCTCTGTTATCCCGCCTGTGTTCTACCTGGCCTTGTCCATATCTCTGCCTGTCACATCTCCCCTTCCTCTCCTTTTGCTAAATCAAGGCTGATCTTATCTCCAGATCCTTAATTTAATATACCTGCCAAGACCCTGTTTCCAAATAAGGCCAAATTCCAATGTGTCAAGGTTAGGACTTAGGCATATCTTTTGGAAGACACTATTAACTCACTCCATAGGTGACTGTGAGTCTTGAGGATGAGTGTCCCTCTCCTTCCCCTGTGCAGCTTCCTGGCCTGCCCACCCACCCATCCATCCATCCATTCATCCATCCAATGTTCAGTCTCTCCCTCCAACATTCCATTTCCCATTCCCATGTTCCATCCATCCATCCAACATTATATCCATTTATTTATCCAGTGCTCTGTATCCTCCAACATTCCATCCATACCTCCCATCCACCCATCCATCCATCCATCCATCCATCCATCCATCCATCCATCCATCCATCCATCCCAGTGTTCCATCTATCTATTCAGTGCTCAGCATCTTTCATCATGATTCCATCCATCCATCCATCCATCCCACCACAGTTGCACTCATCAATCTAATATTATATCCATCTATATATCCAGTGCTTACCATCCTCCAACATTCATCCATCCATCCATCCATATCTTCCATCCACCCAATATTCCAGCCATCCCTCCAATATCCCATCCCTCCAACGTTCTACCTGCATCCATCCTTCCAAAGTTCTATCCATTCACCCTTCTTTCCAACATTCCATCCATCCTCCTCCCCACCTTCCAACCATTCATCCCTCCCTCCCCACAGCTGCCCACCCTCTGTCTTCTTTGTTTCAGGGGTGGCGGCAGCGGAAGGCCTCTGAAACAAAGGAGAAGGGGATCTGGGGAGCACGGATGGACAAACGGATGGATGGATGAAGGACAAAAGGATGCCCTGAGAAGAAGACCTTCTGGGGGAGGGGGAGGAAGTGGATACTGACCCACACCCCAGTGGAACAATGAACTCCTGGCCTCTCCACACTCCTAGGCTGGACAATGAAAACCAGTAGCATCCACAATAGCCCTAGAACCTCCTTTCAGGATGCTGGGCCAGGGAGCAGCACCCAGACCAGCAAAGACAAGGTTAGCCAAGAGCAACCTAGAGATGTAGGCTAGACAGGAGGAGGACTTACTCATTGGAAGCCTTCCAGGTTGATCATCTCTGCGACCAGAAGTTCTCAGCCCTCATGATGCAACATGCTCAGTACCCCCATGGGACTAGTTCGCCTCGAAGGAGTTCTCCCCAGGGCTGACCCCACTTTCTTTTTCAAAGTGTTGAGGACCAAAAAAAACAAAGCAAAAACAAAAACCAAAGTGTTGAGGACCACCAGTGACAGTAGCAAACATTGAAATTTACATTAAAAGCATGACTTAGTACCTCGATGCTGTCGTGGCATGATATTCTCGGTTAGGATAGTATGGAAACAGTGTTAATTTAAAAAGGGTGGACAGAGTGAAGAGGCTCTGGCCTCAGAATCAGGGCCGCAGGAAGACAGAAGACAGGAATTAGCCCGTGTTCCTGGGCTCCCAGCTGCCCCCGCATGTCTTTATTTAGGCCAGGGAGAGAGTTTTAAAATTAGACTTAGTTGCTGACACTTGACAAGTCAGGTAGTTTTACACAGAGAAGCCTGCTTTCTCTCAGAACCTGCTGTCACAGGCCACACTCCACACACAGGCTGAGGAGCAGCTGCTGCTTGCCCTTTCATTCACAGCCACTGTTTGAGTTTGAGGCTCTTGGTGTCTAAAACTGGGCAGCCAGCCCTGGTAGAGGAAGTAAAGTGAGGCAAATGTCTGGAGGTAAGAGAGGGAGGGGGTAGTGGAGAGTGATGGACATTTCAGCTCATCTGGAGACCGCCTCCTTGATGTGGAAGATAAGACTAGAATGTTGGGTCTGACTTCAGGGGATGAAGGCGCTGGGCAAGAGGAAGCCACCAAAGGTGGTTGAGCAGGGGAGGGATTCCACAAAAGATTACTTGGTGGCTGAACAAGCATTAGAGGCAGGGAAAGCAATTGAACCAGGGCTGTAGTGAAAAATATCCTGCTTTCCTCATGAGTGGGTGCACTGCCTGTGAATCTCCTTTTCTCAGATGATTCTGGGACCATTATTAGCAAAGCTAATAGTGAGGGAGGGTCAGTGCTCCAGAGCCAGGTGGGAGATGTCACTTACCTGCACTAAGAAAAAGCAACTGCACAGATGCCCGGGCCTTCCAGAGAGGATGGCTTGGAGCCATCAACCTTGGGCTGCAGCTACTCCCCCTCCCCCCCCACTTTGTTCTGCCTGGGGCCATATGCAGAGCCCCCACCCCTTCCCTTCTTGGCTGGTGATCCAAGCCCTCCTCTTCTCAGAGCTCAGACATCTTTGTAATAGGGGCAGTCTGAGGCCTGCTGATGGGGTAAAAGGCAGAGTTTGTGAGGCATTGATCCCTGAATACCACCTAGATAGTTAATGCAAGCAGGAATCAAGGACAACACCCACTGTAAGGGCAGTGCCCTGTGTGGAGAGGCTCCAGTGCCAGGGAGCGCCCATCTGGGCCCTGTTATCACCTGGTATGGAGCCCAGGAGCCTTGGCCCTCCTGTTAACTTCCTACATGGCCTTGGGAGAAGTTACTCACCTTTCTAAGCTCCCTCTTTTGTCTGTAGAAAGAGGGACAATATCATTCTCACTCTTTGGGCTCTCTGTTCCCTCAATGACTCCTGCTATGCCCAGGCATGGCACCCCAAAGATGTAGAGATATAGAAATGACACACAGCATGTCCAGCTCTGGATTTCATATCTGGATTTGGGGGATCCCCAAATGTAGGTCTAGGAGAACCAAGAGCAACTACAGGGAAGGATAGTTTAGCATAGGACAGAGCAGCTTCCCGGGGCATTCTCCATGGAAAGCACCCCATGAAAGAAGGGGTTTGCTAGGCACTAGTGGCTCACGCCTGTAATCCCAGCTACTCAGCAAACTCCATCTGAGGACTGAGATTCAGAGCTAGTCCTTGCAAATAAAACCTTGCAACTCTTACCTCCAATTAACCAGCAAAAAGCTGAAGTGGGAAGTGTAACCAAAATGGTAGAGTGTCAGCCTTGAGTAAAAAAAGCCAAGCAAGAGTCCAAGGCCCTGAATTCAAACCCTAGTACTAGCATAAAATAAAGCAAGCATCTATACCTCAGTTTGCCCATTTGTAACATGGGAACAGAATCTGAAAGAGAGGATAATAGTTGGTGTGAGGATGGACTAAGTTGATCCACGTAAAGCACTCTGCACACAGGAAGCACTCAGGAATGTGCTGTTACTATTATGGTAATTATGATAGTCATGAGGCCTATGAACTCAACTATGTTATTGGATGTCCCAGGAAAGGCTGTCTCCATTTAAATTGCCTCTTTGGGATGGAGGTATGGCTCGAGTGGTTGAGTACTTGCCTAACAAAGCACAAGGCCCTGAGTTCAATCCCCATTTCTTCCAAGAAATAAAAAGTCTATTAAAGTTACTATTATTATTTGTTGGCCCAAGGACCACCCAGCCCCTGGAGCTTTTGGACAATACCTGGAAGGTGCCCAGAATGTTTCTATTTTCTCCTTGACACCCCAGGGGAGTTTCTGGTGATTCCTCTGTACTCACATACTGTTAGGGATCAGGGGACCTAGCCAAGGGCAGACCTCCATGATCCTTTTCCTACCCAGCAGTCAGTTTCCTGGGAGGGTGGGGTGGCTGGGGGGGGGGGGGGGAGGGGGAGGACCGGTGAGGAGGACTTCCAGAGTGCTAAGCTGTCAGCAAGGGGTGGTATCTAGAAAACAGACTGTAGGCAGTCTCCCCCTGAACCCCACAGGACCACCCAGGCCATCTGAAGGTAGCAGAGCCCTGGCCTTACACACAATACTGGGTTAGAAGCAATCTTTCTGCTCTGGTGATCCATCCACTGCAATCAAAGCTCTGTTTCATGAGGAAAAGAAGGGCGGAAGTAATAGAAAAGGGCAGGCGAATGGCCGGGGCTTTAGCTTGTTCCTGGAGCCCTGCTCTGTTGGTTGACGGTGCCTCTGAGTGTTGAAGCTTAGAGATGAAATGCTGTGGGGTGGCCAAGGTTCTCTTGGCGGGCAGGGGCCCAAGCCTACCCGTCTCACCTCACCAGCAGCTCCACCTGTGTCTATCCCCCCTCCACGTGCCCCTCCCCCCCTCCCCCCCCCCCCCCGCCCCCACCACAGTCAGCATCCTCCCCATGGAGCAAGTAGAGCCTGACCTAGTCCTGGAAGAGGTTGATCCACACTGGGAGGACCCGCAGCAGCACAGCAGCCCCAGCCCTGTTCTAGCTTTTGAAGAGGAGATGGAAGTTATAGTGGAGATGCCCAGGTAAGGAGCCAGAGCAATCCCAGGGCGGGAGAGTAACAGGCCTGTCATGTGGAATCCTAAATGTATGAAAGGGTGTGGGGCAGAACCAAGCCAATCTCCCCCAGGCAAGCTGCCCTCTCCCCATGGGTACATCAGCTTCTGTGCTGTGTTCTAAGACAGTCTGGATACATGTGGGCATACCTCTCTCTCTCTCTTTTTTTTCTCTAGAAAAGATAGCATGTTACATGTGCCTATCTGCACCTCCTTGTTTTCACTGCTGCATTGTATTCCATGGTAGACAGAAGCCAAATTACCTTCCAGGGGAATCTCAGGATCTCTATTCTCACAGTTGATTCTTAGTGACAGCTACTCAAGCTGGGAGGTTTGGGGCTCTCAGTCCCATGAGCTGCATTACTAAGATGGGGAAACTGAGGCCCAGAGAGGCTTAGGATTGACCTAGATTACCACCCAACAGTGCAGAAGGCTGCAGAGAGCCTGGGGCTGCTCCGGTGGGACTCCCCAGATCCAGCTTTGGTGGGGAATTCAGGTCAGGTCCCCGGCATCAATGACATGCTATAGAGAATGCTGTAAGCAGTGGCTGTGTTTGCTTGCGGGTGCTCACTTCCTGAACTCACCCTGACTCAGGGAGCTGCCCCGGATTCAGGAGGAGAAGGAAGAGGAAGAGGAAGCAGAGGAGGAGGAAGAGGAGGAGGAAGAGGAGTTGATGGAGCCTGTGTGAGTCACTTGTCCACCTGGCTAAGGGGTGTGGGGTGGGGACAGGGTGTTACGGTCAGGGCTTCAGGCTTCTAGGTAGCACTGCTGCTTATATGATTGATTGATTGATTGATTTGTCAGTCGTGGGCTTGAACTCTGGGCCTGGGTGCTGTTCCTCAGCTCTTCAGCTCAAGGCTAGTGCTCTACCACTTGAGCCATAGCGCCACTTCTGGTTTTCTGAGCAGTTTATTAGAGATAAGAGTCTCACAGACTTTCGTGCCAGGGCTAGCTTTGAATTGTGATCCTCAGATCTCAGCTTCCTGAGTGGTTAGGATTACAGGCGTGAACCACTGGTGACTGGCTATATGATTTTTTTTTGTACTGAACTCCTGTCCTTGGTTTTGTGCTCTGTATGCCAAGCACTGGCCTAGAGCCACAGTACCTCCAACACACACACGCACACCCCTATACTGACTACATACATGTTCTCAGATCAGTGCACACAGGTGCAAGATCTCCATGTATACCAGCTCACAGATACAGATGTGCAACATACCCTGCATGTACACATGTGTGCATGCACACGGCTACTCATGTATACACTAGCATGTATCTGCAGGCTCCACCCTTGCCCTGTGCTTGGGTCCCGGAGCACATGTATACACTTTTCCACAAATTTTCAGGCACACATGTTCAGGCAAAAGTTCCTGAGTTTAAAACTGAGGGAACTATGGAGCCCCAGGCCCAGAAGGAACAAGATGCTGTGGGGACAGAGCCAGCATTCCTGGGCCACTGCCAGAGGGCATGAGGCATGGGGCAAGCTGGGCTGGGCTGCTTCTGCCTGGGGAAGGATGCTCTTGGCCAGCTTTGCAGAGGTGCAGGTTACTGATGACGTCAGGGCCCTGGTAACGCCACTGGTCACCTAGCAACCTTGTCTCTGCAGGCCGCAGCTGGGCTTTTCCTAGCAACCACAGCCTTGTGGTCCCCACCTGGCCTCCCTGGGGGCGGTTCTGCCGTTCCCTGCACATCCCCTCAGTGAGATTAGAAGCAGGAAGGATTGATGGCTCGGCTGCCATCTGAGCCACACTGGCTTAGGAGCTGCTTTCCTGGTTAAGCTGGGGTTGTCCAAGTCTCCACTTGTATGTGCCGACCCTGGGCTTGGGGTGAATGTCTGGGCCCCCAGGTGAAGTCCTGCAACATGGGCATCCTTGCCGGCAGAGACAGAGATACCCAAGTAGGTGGTTGCTTCTGCCTATGGCCTGCCTGCCTGCTTGCCTGCCTTTCCCCCTTCCTCCTTCCCTCTCCCCTTCTTTCTTCTTTCCTTCCCTTCTTTCCCTTCTTCCTTCCCTCCCTCCCTTCCTTCCTCTCCCCTCTGTCCTCCTTCTCCCCTGCTCCTTTTGTCTTTTCTTCTCTCCCTTCTTCTCTTCCTCCTTCCCTCTCTCCCTCCCTCCCGCCTTCCCTTGGGCTCTAGGGCTAGAACCTACTGAAGGTATGTGGGAATTTAGTGGGGGCACAGTGTACTGGGACTATGGAGGGAATAGACTGGAAATGGTCACAAGCTGGCTACAGCTAACCCCAGCTTCAACCCAGGAGCTACAAAGCCTCCAGGAAGCCCTGGACCCAGTTTCTGTCTGCTGCTGTTTGAACATCCCTAGGACTTGGGAATTCTCTAGAAGCTGATAGGCTGCTGGGCTGAGGGAGGGTAACAGACCTTGGGGATATTGACCAGGACAGTGCTGGGCTTAAGTACCTTGCTATTTGAGACTGAGATGTCCCATCCCTGTTACCGCCCCCCTTCCATCGGTCAGGTGCTAGCCCTGTGGATTGCTGCCTTCTCTGGGATTAATAATGATGAGACCAATAATAAAAATAGCTGATCAGGCTATGCACCAGTGGCTCATGCTTGTAATCCTAGCCACTCAAGAGGCTGAGATATGAGGATCACCGTTCAAAGCCAGCCTGGGCAGGAAAGTCCATGTATCTCCAATAAACCACCAGAAAACTGTGATTCAAGTGGTAGAGTGCTAGCCTTGAGCTGAAGAGCTCAGGGACAGTGCTCAGGCCCAAAGTTCAAGCCCCATGACCACCAACAATAAAAAAAGTAGCTTATCATCAAAGAGTTACTTGGAAGACTCATCAGAAAGTCAGAATGGTAGGTTCGGTTACAGACCCCCACTTCACAGATGAGAAGACTGAGGCTCAGAGTTGATGCTCTGCAGGTCAAGGGCTGCCCTGCCAGGAAGGATGGACCTCAGGTTTTGTCCCAAATCATGTTGGCTCCAAAGTAAACAGTTGGTATTGCACATAGGAAGTGGCTTCCAGTGTTAGGAGAATCCAGAACAATCCATCCTGGTGTTTTTGTGGACTTTCCCACTCAATTTCACTGGTCCCTCTGCTCTCATTGAAATAAACCAGGCTGCTCAGGCTGGGGAATCCTGCCATCCTAGGAGATAGGGCAGCCTTTGGTGCCCAGAGGACTTGCCCAAAACCATGTGGTGTGCCTTGCTGGCCGGATACTGGGGAAAAGAGGGTGCTGGGGATCCTCTAGCAGGGCTGCCATCTGGGCCTGTGGCAGCAGGCTGAGCTAGGGAGCACACTGTATTAGTTTAGGCCTCTTCATGATTACTGTCTGTGGAGGACAAGTTCTTTTTGTTGTTGTTGTTGTTGGTTGTGGGGCTTGAACTCTGGGCCTGGGCACTGTTCCTGAGCTCTTTAGCTCAAAGCTAGTGCTCTACCACTTGAGCCACAGCGCCACTTCTGGTTTTCTATTGGTTTATTGGCGACAAGAGTCTTTCTTGCCTGGGCTGGCTTTGAACTGCGATCCTTAGATCTCAGCCTCCTGAGTAGCTAGGATTACTTGCGTGAGCCACCGGCGCCTGGCAAAGATAAGTTCTTGATAGTAAACACAGTGCCTCAAATGTCTCAGGTCCCCATGAGAATGTTTGTTTCTTTGCTTGTTGTTTTTCATGGTGCTAAGGATCAAACCCAGGGCCTCATGCATGCAGGGCAAGTATTCTAATTTCTTTTCCAATCGGACACCAAAGAAACACTTTTAGATTAAAGAAAATATTGCAAGATAACAATATTAACATGTTGACCTATCAATCTTCATAGAAAGTCAGTTGTAAACATGATTGGGAATTTATATTTTTAGGGAGAAAAGGACCCAGGAATTATGCAAGGCATAAATGTGACCTGTTTTTGTGAGTGAATCTTTTAGAAGATTGGGTGGGGCCTATTTCCCTGAAAACCCTGGCCCCCTGCAGAGCCATGTCTATAGAAGAGAGCTAAGAGGAGTCAGGCACTTGGATCATTAGCCCCTCATGTCATGTGGGATGAAGCAGCAGCACAGAACCGCAAGCCCACAGCCTTGAGCCCTGAGATGCCAGTGTCTTACCCAGCTTCATTTGCCTGGGCTGTGTGGCTCAGGACCCACCATTAGACCTCTCCAAGCCTCTGTTTTCTAAGCTGACATGCGTTTGGCTGCAGCCCTCATCTCTCAGGGTTGCTTGGATGAAGTCAGATCCAAGGGTAGCCTGGTGGGCACAATGCCTGGCACACAGCCCCCCTGAGAGACCGTGAGTTTGGGAGCATTCTGTTCCCAGTCAGCAGGTTGCAATCCATGCAGACTACACTTCCATCTCCACCTGCTCACCCACTTCAGCAGGGGACGGAGCCTTGGCACTGTCCGAGAGGATAGACAGGTCAGATGTTCTAGCAGACGTGAATATTCCTCCATGACCCCCTTGGTGACAAGAGTCTGAGGTGGGTGGGAGCTGGGGCTGTTAGGTAGTAGGCCTCAACCTAACTCCAGAAGTCACAGGAAATTCAAGTATGGTGGTACATACCTGTAACCCAAATATTCCAGAGGCCGAGACAAGAAGATTGTGAATTCAAGGCCAGTACCTAGAGATATAGACTCTTTTTTTTTTACAGTTACATGGTAATACAGAGACATGAATCAGAATGATCAACATTCAAATATCAGAAACTTCCATTTCAAAAAAAAATGTACAGTGAGCCAGGCACCAGTGTCTCATGTCTATAATCCTAGCTATTCGTGAGGCTGTGATCTGAGGATTGAGGTTCGAAACCAGCCAGGGCAGAAAAGCCTGTGAGACTCTTATCTTCAATAAATCACTCAGGAAAAAGCTGGGAGTGGTGCTATGGCTCAAAGCGGTAGAGTGTTAGCCTTAAGCACAAAGAATCTCAGGGACAGTGCCTAGGTCCTGAGTTCAAGCCCCAAGACCAGTTCCTCCCCCCCAAAAAAAACCCCACAAAAACTACAGTTCAGGCTTCTCTGGAAAGTCAGAAGATATGACCCTTCCCTCAAAGCCCCGTTCAAAGTAGGTCAGATGCCACCTTCAGGTGGGCACAGCTCTCTATTCGCCCCAGTCCTTGCCCTGCCCCTCCTCATCTCTCCTGTATACTGGCAGGGGTTAGGAAAACTTCAGCAATTATAGTGTGGCTCTGATTTATTTCCTGGCATTAAAAACAACCAAAGCTTTGGCCCAAGGTTTGTGTGGCTTAGGACAATTTTTGGTGTGACTTTGGCCTGATCAGTTCACCTCTCTGAGCCTTGTTTTTCTTACATTCCCTGTCCTATCTGTCAAAGATGGTCGCCTGGAGACTATGGGAGGAGATGAGATATATTCTGAACATCTATGGTGATCTATGGACAGCACCCCCCCCCCACTGCCACCCACACTCCTCCTGGCACAGGCCATGCCCCTGATCCATTCCATGTTTTCAAATTGTCATCTTTGAGATCCAGCTCACAGGCCACCTCCTCTGGGAAGTCCTCCTTCCTCACAGCTCTGTAGCTGTGAGTGGGATCCAGCCCTGTGCACTGGATATGGCTTGGGCCTGGTTTTGGGCATCTCTAGGCCCAGCTCCTGGCCAGAGCTCAACCTTAGCAGAACTCAGGCAATGTCAAGCACTCTAACCCTTTCCTCTACCCCTGGCGTGACAGTGTCCTGCTGGATAGCTGCTTGCTGGTACAGGCGAGTGTGGACCAGAGTGGAGTAGACGGGACAGAGCTTCAGACAGCATCACTGCAGGTAGGAGAGCCGGGGCACTGGGTACCAGGTATCCACATCAGCTCTGCCCCACACACTGCGGTTACAGGGGAATTTCAGATGCCCACAGGACAGAAGCAGGGTGGAGGGTCCTGCCGTGTCAGGGGTCAGACAGTCAGGAAGGACATTGGCCATGGCGGGTATCAGGCAAGCTGGCCTTGATTCCACTCCCTCCCTTCCCTACTCTGGGCCTCTGTAGCTACTGGTGTCAAAACGTGCTGCAAACACCTCCCAAGGGTGCAAGAGGGCCCCAGAGGGCCAGTGCACTATGGGGTTCTCTTCTGGGGGCCCAGGTCTGGCTGAATGGGGAGTCCGACAGGGGTCAGGGCAGGAGTGGCCTGGCAGGGCCTGAGGGGCTGGGCGGGGCAGGAGCAGAGCTAGGGGTGGACACCTTGAAGCACGGGATCTGAGTGGGCAGGTGGCAAAGGTCCAGCTTCCTAACTTGTGTCTCTGCAGGAGCTGCAGGAGGAGTCTCAGGCCAACAGCTCGGCAGGTAGGTGGGGCTGGGGAGGACTTCCAGGCTGAAGGCCACCTCTCCTTCCTCCTCCTCCCAGTCTATGTGCGCTCCCCAATCCCCCATCCTCAGTGAAGCCAATCCTCCGTGCCCTGGGGCCACGTGATCATAGCCACACATGTCTTTCACGGGTCCTGGGGGGAAGGGCTGAGGCCCGAACTCTTGGCCGGGGAGCCCCACTGTTCTGGCCCTCAGTGCAGCCTCTTCTTCTGGGGGAAGCAGCTTTAGGTACTGGCCCAGTGAGGTTCCATTCAGCCATCTCCTGAGGGGCAGCGGGACCAGAAGCTGTGTACAATGGGGCTGTCCACCAAGGCTGTGCCTTAGTCCTGTTTCTGTGAGCTAGATGTGGCTTCTGGGCCCTCTAGGCTGCTTTCAATGGTGAACTTGGCTCCTTGGGCCAAGTCTACCCAATCCTGAGAATTTCAGGAATGGTGGCAGGGTGTGGAGGGGAGGTGGGAGAGCATTGTGGGGTGGAGGGTGGTTACAGGGCAGCCAAACAATGGCTGGGTATTTACACTCCATTGGATGTCAAGCCCTGGTCTGGTTTGGAGTCCCTTATACTACTTGTACCCCATTTTTCAGATGGGAAAAGCTGAGGCTTGGCCAAGAAGTCAAGAAAGATCTGTTTCATTCTTGGCCCCTCTCCTTCTTCATAGCTAATCCGGTGTCTTCTCTGAATCATGGCTCCCAAATCTAGAGAAAGGCAGCACAGTATCCCTCTCCAGAGCAGGGGAGACAATGTATCCCAGGTCCCCAGCCTGGGGCTGGTCCTGAGCCAGTTGTCCTGACCCTGAGTGTCCTGAGCTTGTTCCTGGTTTGTTTGTTTTGTCTGTGTGCTAGTAGTACTGGGACTTGAACTCAGGGCCTCACAGTCTCAAGTGAGTATTTTTTTTTTTTTGGCTCGCTACCACTTGAGCCACAACTCCACTTTCAGATTTTTGGCTGAGCTGTCTTTAACCCAGATCCTCAGTTCTTAGTTTCCTGAATTTTTAGGATTACAGGTATGAGGCCAACTGGGTTTTTGGAAAGTGTTCTCTGTTAGCTTGAAGATTTATCTGTATGAACCTACCAGGTCTGTGACCTGATGCTGGGCCTCCATGTAGATGGGGCAGGCTGAGGTCTGACCCGCTGTGGTGGAGCTGCCTCTGCATGCTTCTCCTTCCCAGGTGATTTAGAAACAGGTGGTTGGAGCATCTCCCCAAGGAATGCTGAGACAGCCATTTGTCCATCGCTATTCAAGGCACGGGTCTCATCCGGCTGCTTCAGCATCCTCTGGGAGCTGGTTAGAGACAGGGAATCCTAGCTCCCACCAGCACCAGCTGGTTTGGAAAATGGAGTTCACTCTGTGACCATCTACGTGTCCTTCTCTCTCTCTCTCTCTCTCCCCCCCCCTCTCTATTTGTGCCAGTCCTGGGGCTTGAACTCAAGGCCTAGGCACTGTCCCCGAGCCTCATTGGGCTCAAAGCTAGAATTCTACCACTTGAGCCACAGCACCACTTCCAGCTTTTTCTGAGTCTCACAACTTTCCTGCCTCAGCTGGCTTTGAACTGCAGTCCTCAGATCTCAGCCTCATGAGTAGCTAGGATGATAGGTGTGAGCCACTGGCATCCGGCTGGGTGACATTTTCCATGCTGTGTTCCAGGGATGGCAGTGATTCTTCAAGCTGGGCTTAATGGTGCATGCCTGTAGTCCCAGCATTTGGGAGCCAGCCTGGGCTACATAGTGAGACCCTGTCTCACAAACCAATAAAAATAAGCAATGCTTTAGACCTTGGCAGGGCTGCTCTGTGTGAGCACTGGAAAGGAGCCCCACTCATGCCACTTTTCCACCTCTGCTCCTGACTGCAGCCCCCAGGGTCACACCTCTGCCTGCCTGCAACCTTCTGGCCCCAGCACCATGGCTAACTCAGGCCGAGATATGCAGCTGAACCGTCTAGTGCAGGACCAACCTCCTGGCCAGGTGGCCCCCAGGCCTGCCCCCCCAAATCTGGCAGAGCATCTCCCCAATGTGCCCAGCTACCGCCCCCCAATCACGCGTATCCCTGTCCTCGTCTCCCGGAGAACGGCCTTGTCCAGCTCCAGCTTCGCCAAGGAGAACAGGAGCTCCATCCGGCGCCTCGGTAGTGTGAGCCCACCCCACCCCACGCCCTGCGCTTCTGCATGGCTTGAGCTGACTTCCTGCATGGCAGCACGGTCACGGTGGAGGATCTGGCCTTGTGCTCAGGGAAAACCTGCTCTCTTCCTCAGGCCTTCTTCTTGTTTTCTGGTGGTGACCTAAGGGGCTTGGGCCCCCTTTTCCTTGTGCCTCAACTCCCACCACTAGCAATTCAGTATTTGATTTACACTTTGCTTTCTGTGAGTCATCAGTTTTTAAAATAAGGCAGTCCCTCACACTCTAGTTTAAATAAGCCACTCAGATCTTCAGTCCATGAAACTAGGCCAAGGAGCTGGTAGAGGGTCAAGGCAATGAAAGAAGGGAAATAGTGGAACAATATGGTGCCCGCTGCAGATAGAATCTCCTGACCTGAGCTTATGAGTTTGCTGGGGGCTAGACTTTGTGCTTGACAACTCAGTTTCAGGACAGTGAGAAGTCCCTGGTACAGGCAGGAGGGCCGGAAGGGGCAGATCCTCAGATTCACAGGGCCAAAGGAGGGCATATCCCAGTGGTCCCAGATGGCCTTGAGGCTGCTGCTACTGCTGCTCACGAGGGGTTCCAGCCTCTCTCTGCCTTCACTCCAGTCAGCCCTGTGTACTGTTCCCTTTGGGACTGGCCGTTAGTTTCCTCTGGCCTTGGGCAGGGCTGGCCTCTCAGGTAAAGCAGAGAAAGGAAGAGACCCAGGGCTGTCTTCTCTTCCTACCTCTCAGTGGTCATGGAGTTGGGGTAAGGTGACATTTGGACTAAGTGAGGATGCCCATCAGGTCTCCATTTCCTGGGGGGCAAGCCTTAAATCTCCATTCGCCCCTGCAGACCACTCTCGCTTTTCAGGACCAACTCTACCTTCATTTGCTTGCTGCTCTGAGACACTTTTTAAAATCACTAATTGAATGGGAAACTAGAATTTATTGCCACAAATAGAGGGCCTACATAGAAATGGTGGTAAACACAGAGCTGAGAATCCAGGTGAGGTACAAGGGGCCTGCCAGGGGTTCCTAGCCTTAAGGGGGCTTTGGCTGTAACTCAGGGCCCCTAGTGAAGGCCCTGGGGCCCTGAGCTGAGACCTCACTGTGGCTCTGAGGATCCAGAAGAATTAGCAGGTGAGTCAGGGTCTCAGTCTGCTACCCTTTGTACCTGGTCTATGTGGCTAAAATCTTCCATGTCCTCCCTGGCCCTGGGGCTCCCCACATTGGGGGCCAGTGACTCACCGAGGCAGTGGCTGATGGGACATACAGGATTGTAGGTACCCCAGGCAAGGACATGAAGAACAAGGAGGCCATTCCCGCTTCGGTGACATCGCCTGGCACCTGTGGAGTCGGGGCAGGGGGACATTTCCAGTGATCTCAAGGTGTCCCTTTCCCTCTCCCTTGGTGTCCTCCAGACCTGCGCCTGGCTGCTCCTGGGTAGCTGGGAGGAGAGGCACTGACCCAATCTTGGTGCTATAGCAGGCTTCTCAACATCCCTGTGCCTCAGTTTCCTTATCCACACCATGGGAACAAGAATAGCTGGGAAGGTCAAAGAGTTAATATAGACTAGCATAGAGGTACATACCTATTGTCCCAACCAATCAGGTAGCTGAGGCAGGAGGATCTGCTAGGTTCATGAGTTTGAGAGCAACTTGGGCAATATAATGAGACCATGTTTCAAAAATAAATAATAGGGCCAGGCATTAGTGGCTCACACTGGTAACCCGAGCTACTTAGAAGGCTGAGATCTGAGGATTGCAGCTCCAAGCTGGTCCAGGCAGAAAAGTCCCTGTAAGACTCTGATCTCCAGTTAACCACTCAAAAACCAGAAGTGAAGCTGTGGCTCTAAGTAGTAGAGTGCTAGCCTTGAGCAGAACAGCTCAGGGACAGTGCCAAGGCCCTGAGTTCAAACCCCACGACTGACAAAATAAAATAAGCATAATTAACATCTATAAATTACTTAGAGTTTAGTAAAACAAATCCCATCCTTCAGATATATTGGAAGTGCTTAATCATAGAAACATTAGTCTCTAAGGTAATTTAATAATGCATTACTGTTCTTTATGTTCCTAATGACTTTATTCTGTCTGTAAATCAGTATAATAATAATAATAATCTCATTTCTATATTGAGCTCTTTATAGGGTGGGGAAATGAGAACCAGTCCTGGGGGCTTTTCTCTCCCTCTCCTGGGGGTGGGGGTAGGAGGGAGGTTGCAGGCCTAACCCAGGTGGAGGAATGGGTGGGTAGAGGAGCACTCTCCCCCTCCCCCAGGCTCCTAGACAAACTTGCAGCCCATAACACTTCCTGTGTCTGGGACCATGCATCCCTTCCTGGAGGCTCTCCTGGAGCCTATGTGAGAAACTGCTGTGGCCTCTGGCCTCCCCTTCCAGCTCATTCTCTCCATGGCTGCAGGGCTGCCAGGTGAGGGCTCTTCTGTCTTATGTCCTCCTCAGAGCCTGGAGTCTCTCTCTCTCTTTTGGCCTGAAACTAGAACTTGAACTCAGTACTTGACACTTTTGCTCATTGGCTGGCGCTCTACCAATGGAGCTACTTTTCCAACCCCATGTCCCTTAACATTAAAAAAAAAGTCTTTATTGGGCTAGGAAGGTGGTTCAGTGGTAGAGTGCTTGCCTTGCATGCACGAGGCCCTGGGTTTGATTTCTCAGCACCACATAAGCAGAAAAAGTCAGAAGTGGGGCTGTGGCTCAAGTGGTAGAGTGCTAGCCTTGAGCTGAAGAGCTGAGGGACAGCACCCAGGCCCAGAGGTCAGGCCCCCTGACTGCAAAAAAAAAAAAAAAAGTCTTTATTGCTACTCATCCTCTTCCCCAGAGGGCTTAGCGTTCAGTAAACAAGAGCCTAGAGTCTTGAGGCCCCTACTCATCAAACTAGAAAATAATAAGCAACTCTATAAACTGCTGGTTCCTCCCTGAGAAAAATCCCAGATGCAGCGATTTCCATGTGCTGTGCCAGGCCTGTGCTGGCTGCCACTGGGTGGTCCTGCCTAGGTGGGGTGGGGGGTAGGGGCGCCTGCCCAGCCCCCAGCATCCTCTGAGCTTGGACTTGAGGGCCTGTCCCATGGTCCTGAGGTGCCACCAGGCACAGGCTCCCCGGGAAGGCCTTGATTCTCAGGGAGGTCTCAGAGGTCAGGACCGGACTGGCTGATGAATTCTGGGGGCTCCAAGTATACAAATTGGGAGTAATACATATTGCTAAAACAGGCTATTATGCTTAATAGGAGGAAACCTTGAATGTCTAATTGAGACTTTGCTCTCTCCTATAATAGGGAAACTGAGGCTCAGGGAGGGGAAGCAGCTGGCCCAGGCTGTGCTAAGCCAGGCCCAACCTTTGCCCCTACCTGCTCCTCATGCCTTCTGTGCCTGCAGCTCACTGCTGGTCTGCATTCTTCTAGTCCAGGCAGGACTTTGAAGCAATTTCAGTGTCATCCTGGCTTCTCTGTGGCTTGTGGTCGTTGGGGTGTGGTGGCACTCAGGGGCCTGTGTATGGCATCCTGCACCCCTGCATGCAGCTCTCCCGTGGGTTTCCTTAGCAAACAATGCCACCAGAGGCCTTCCACACGTGTGCCTGCCTCCACCAGGCCCCAGACCTGGCTTCTCTCTCTCTCTGACTCTTCCTCCTTCCTCTCTCCCAGTGCCGGCCACAAATGAGCACCCAGAGGTGCAGGTGGAAGACACTGATGCTGACAACCACCCCCTCATCGCTGAGGAGAAGCCCCCCTCCCCTGAACAGTTGCCACCTTCGCCTGCCAAGTCCGACACCCTTGCTGTCCCTGGATTGGCTGCGAGCACTCACAGGTCACCCTCCCGCTCCCTGCTCTCTTGGGCTTTTCTTGGGCAGGGCTTGGAAACCATGCTGATGAATGAAAGCACTAAGATAGTCTTCATTGTATTAGATGGATAACCAAACCTGGAGCTCAATTTGGGACGCGCCCAAGCTCATACCATGAGCTGGAGCCTGGGTGCCAAGGCCTTGCTCCGCGTGTGATAGAGAAGGGGGCAGGTGTGACTTCAGGCTGGAAGTAGAGGGTTGGGATGTTCAAGCTAAGACCTGACTCAGTGATAAGCACCCCATTATTTAGTGAGCTGGAATCAGTCCCATTTTACACAGGGGGAAATGGAGGTGGCTCAGAGAGTTTCAGTGATCTTTGAAGATCCAGGGTGCAACCCCCCCAGAGTCTGCCTGAAGCAAACCACAGAATGTGAGACTGAGGTCCCCAGAGTGCTGCACCCCACTCTTTTTCTGGCCTCTCCCCTCCCCTTCTTCCTAGGCTCTAGGTGACCTTCAGGGTCAAGGTCAATCCTGGCCTGCCCTTGCCGCAGCTGAAGGCCCCTGGATGCCTGCATCCTGCAGGAAGAAGCTGCCTTCTCCGGATGATGAGGCCGAAGAGCTCAAAGCACTGTCACCAGTTGAGTCCCCGGTGGTCGCCTGGTCGGACCCCACCACCCCACAGGAGGCAGAGTGAGTAGGAGCCCAGGGTAGGAGGGGGTGATGGTCTGGAGAGGGGGCAGACAGGGGAGGAGAAGGGATTGTGGAAGTTTTAGAATTCCACACAAGGCAGACAGTCAAGGGCTTTGGAGCGGTCCATCTGGGTGTTCTATGCAGGCTATTCCTGCTTGGCCAGGAGTCCTAACACTTATCAGCTGGGTATAGACTCAGCCAGCTTGGTCCACACCAGCAGTGATCCTGTGGGGTCTCAGGCAGATGACTCCCTGTAATCAGCAAGATTACAGGGACCCAGTGGGTCCCAACTTTTTGGGGGAGAAGGGTAGTACTGGAGTTTAAATTCAGGGCTTTGTACTTACTAGACAGAGGCATTACCATATATTCCTAATCTTTTCTGCGTTAGTTAAATTTTCAGATAAGTTCTCATGGCTTTTTTTTTTTTTTGGCTGAGACCAAGACCCCCCCATCCTCCACCTCCTACTAGCTGGGATGACAGCTGTGAACCCCACAGCTGACTTATTGTTGAGCTAGAAGCTGTTGGTTTTTTGGAGGGAGGGCAGTACTAGGATTAGAACTCAGGTCCTCATGCTTTTGAGACACATGCTCTGACCACTATGCCACATCTCTAGTCTTGTTTTCTACTGGTTCTTTTTGAGGTAGGGTCTTTCTTTCTTCCTGTCTAATATATTCCTGGGTCCAAGCCAATCCACCTGTTTTAAGCTCTATGTCATAGCAAATAGGAGCATACCATCGAGTCTAGCTCTCCATTAAGAAAGACTCCCCAAAACTTCCTTCCCTGGGGTGGTCTTGAATCATAATCCTCCCCCATTTCAGTCTCCCAAGTAGCTGGGATTATAGGTCTGAGCCACAGGCACCTAGCTAAGGTCTTACTCCCTCCTACACCCCTTTCCTCCTGCCCCATGATTGTCTGGATCTCTATCAGGAGCTTGTTTAGAATGCAGAATCCCAAGCCCCACCCGGCAGGACTGGATCAGAGTCCCAGCTAGTGACCCAGGGGAATCCACATTCCTGCCTACTCTCCTGCAGGTTCCAACCAAGGCCATGTGTTGGCCCAGTGGTTAGAAACCACGGCAATGGCATTGGGACCTGGGTCTCTGACAGCTTCCCAGACTGGGCCAGTGGGGAGGGGTTTTTCTGAAGGGTGTGAGTAACCTCGTTGACATCCCCGTCATGGAAGCCGGCCTGGACATCCTGTCATACTGCCCAGCCATGTCGCCTGCATCAGCCACAGGAGACGGCACTTCTGCCCTCATCCTTCTAGTCTTTTCTTCTCTCCTTAATTTTATGTACTTGTGTTCAACAGAGGCATAGACAGTTCAGAAAAGAAAGAAGCAAGAAACCCCTTAGCCTCAGATAGTTCAGTTGTCCTGTTAGCACGTGGGGGTCACGTGTTATGCAGTAGGCTAGGGGCCAGGGTTTGGATTTATCACCAGAAAATGTGTCAGGAATCAAGTACAATAATAAAAATACCCTTGAGATTGCATAAGGAGGTCAATAGGGAGGCCATACGTTCACCAGCTAAGCTAAGCTGCCATCACAAATAGACCCTAAAGGGCCAACAATAAGGTGTTTCCAATGGCATGGCATGTAGTAATTGTTCATTTAGACAGTGGAAGGCACTGACTGCTCCATAGGGTCATTTAGGATCCCAGGTGATGGTGATCCCACTGGCGACTGACTACTAGGAGAGGAGATTCCAGGCCTCTCTTCATTAAGAAGGCCGGAAGTTGTACATCTCCTGTCTCCCCACCCTCTCTGCTCCCCACAATGTCAGTACTAGGATTTGGACTCAGAGTCTTGTATTTCCCAGGCAAGCACTCTACTATTTGAGGCGTACTCCAGCCTTTTTCGCTTTCGTTCTTTTTCTGGTAGGGTCTTACACTTTCGCCTCACATATATCTGAGATTATAAGGGTGAACCACCTTGCCTTTCCCGGTCTCTTCTCTCTTCTTCAGCCTATGCATAAACGTTAACGCATGTGAATTAGGACCTACAGTGTGTCTGTGCACTTTTTCTGCCAGCCATTTCCTAAATTCTAAAGCTCCGGTTTCCCTCTCTGTTCTGCCCCAGATGTGCATCTCATGAGAACCTCAGACCAAGTGCCCCAGTCCCGTTTCACTGCACTCTCGGCAGTGTTCAAGAGTTTCCCCCTGAATTACCAGCGGGGCAAATGTGTTCTGGGAACTGCCCATCCGACCAGGCGATGTGGCACATTTTCTAAGAACAAGGCTAGAGCAGCTGGGCGTGATTTCCCTCCACTGACAGTAGAGCGAGTGGGTCAACAGTATCAGCAGAGGCAGAGACAGGATTGTGTCCTTCAAGCTTGGATAGAAGCTGAGGCCCAGCTCTGGCTGGGGCAGGGGGTCCTCTCCCCACCCAGTTGCTGAGAGAGGTGGGCCTTGTCCTCACAGTGGACAGGACCGCGCAGCCTCCTCGGCCAGCCAGAACAGTGCCATCATCAACGACCGGCTGCAGGAGCTGGTGAAGCTCTTCAAGGAGCGGACGGAGAAGGTGAAGGAGAAGCTCATCGATCCCGATGTCACCTCGGATGAGGACAGCCCCAAGCCCTGTGAGTGGGGGTGGGCGCCCATGGTGAGGTTGCCTGAGGGAAGGCCCTACTCCCATACTGGCCCAGCACCTTATGGACCCGTCTGCCCTTTCCCCTGGTGGTGGGTGGGGCTCCTGGCCTTGCACGTAGTGTGTCCCCAGCCTGCTCTGGACATGGCAGTCTCATTGTTTAGAAGCATCAGTGCCTTGATGGGGCCCCCTGAGCATTGCATTTCTTCTGTCGTTGCCTTCTGAGACAGAATCCCTAGATAGCTCAGCTCATCTCCAACTCTGGCTCCTCCTGCCTCAGCCTTCCTAGTGCTAGTATTACAGGAGGGTGGCACCGTGCCTCAGGGAAATGCTTCCTTTCATTCAGGAAATGGGGAAGAAATAAGAAAATAAGCTCACTTGTCAGAGACCTTTTAAGTCTTTCCAAAGAAGTACGGGGCCCGGGAGCTCACAGTGCCCTCGGTGGGTCTAGCAGATCTGATTTACAGTCCTAAAATATAAACATCATGAGGAACTGTGGAGAGCAGCCCTTATAACCAAGCACCAGCATCATAACATGCAGGGATCCTAGCCAGGTCCACGTGGAGCCAAGATTCTAGCCCCACCAAGAACTAGGTCCAGGTTGATCACACCTATGTACAGCAAAAGAAACTGAGGCACAGTCTGGGTCTCTCCCAGGTAACACGTAGGCTTCTGCACATGGAACTCATGGCTGGTTGAGGGTGAGTCCCTTGGTTCTGGCTCTGTAGGCAGGACCTTGGTCCCTGTAACCTCCACCCTGGGCCTCCCCAATGTCATCCCATAGCTCCAGCCAAGAAAGCCCCCGAGCCAACTGCCGTGGCAAAGCCCACTGAGCCGGAACAGCCTGAGGAAGAGGAGCATTACTGTGACATGCTGTGCTGCAAGTTCAAGCGCAGGCCCTGGAAGAAGTACCAGTTCCCTGAGAGCATCGACCCGCTGACCAGTAAGGATTCCCCCCCGCCCCCGCCCGCCCCAAGGCAGCAAAGCAGGAGGGCAGGGGTGTGAGGGCGGGGTCTAGGAGGCCTTCGGCTCATCACCTCTTGGAGTTTGGTTGGTTTTTTTGTTTTTTTTTCAAAGCACTTGTACATCTTCTTACTTGATTCTTAAAACAGCACCAATGAAAGTCCCTGGAGTTACAGTGTAAGATCGCACCCATCTTACAGATGCAGAAACCGAGGCACAAAAAACTTTGCCAAGTCTTCTCTATTACCACACTTTCTAGACCCCTGATCTGAGTAGGGGAGGGGGTGGATTCTACTTAGAGCCCCTTCTCCTCTTCCTCAGGAGTCATTTTATAGGTGAGCAACACCTTGCAGTTCAGACCTGCTGCCCTTACCTGGCAGTTTCCTGTGACTTTGGAGAAGACCCCGGCAAGCACCCCACAGGGACCTTCTCAAGGTCATACAGGAAGTCATTTAGGGGGCAGGACTGGTATTGGTGGGCTTCTAAAATGACAAGTGACCCAAAGTATCCATCCACAGACCTATCCATCCATCACCTGTCTGTCCATCCATGTCTCCATCCTCTGTGTATGACTTAACACTCTATTTACTAAGACAAGAGATACATTGTTAGAAAATCTTCAAAGAAGCTGGGTATAATGGCTCACGTTTGCAATCCTAGCTACTTGAGAAGTGGAAATCAAGGGATTGTGATTCAAGGCCAATCTGGGCATGAAAGTTCACAAAAGAGTCCATCTCAGCCAATGGCTGTGCGGAGTGGTACACTTGTGTACCAGCCCAAAGAAAAGCACAGGTAAGAAGATTGAAGGCCAGGCTGATCCAGGCATAAAGCCAAACAACAAAAGGGGGCTGGAAATATGGCTCAAGTAGTAGAGTACCTACCTAATAAACGTAAGGCCATAAGTTCAATTCCCACGATGATCAAAAACAGAAAGAAAAACTTCAAAACAAGTGAAAGTAAAAGGGTTTCTACCTCACTGTCTTTTGTCTAATAATAATGTCACCATACTGAGAATTAGAGTCTAATGGTGACTTACAGTGTCCATCTATCCATTGTTATAAATATGCTCTCCAAGAACCTTTGGAGTCAAGATGATAGACATGAAAATAAAGAATTGTCTCAGCAAAATTGACTTCTGCAGAAGGGTGAGCCATCAGCCAAAAATCTGGCAAGCAAGCACACAGAGCAGGCAGGCTGTTCCCCTATTTATCCCTAACACAGCAAGCACCTCTGCTCGATTGGTTGAGCTCAGGTTCACAATACACTCATGATTGGCTCATTTGAATAGAGTAAAATGTATTTATATAAGGTGACTTTGAAATAAGATTAGCAGTATACAAGTAATCTCAAAATATATCTGCCTCCTCTGCTATTAAGATTAGCAGTATACAAGTAATCTCAAAATATATCTGCCTCCTCTGCTATTTCTTGAACAATCTGAGGTTTGTCTTCTGAAGTCTTAATTCCATCTTGGGGAAAAAATAGTTTAAAACCTTATATTTCAAAAATCCTTCCTTATTCCAAAGCAGTTCCTCTTTTCCTTAACAAGAGCCATGCCACTAGGCCAAAGCAGGAATTTTTAAGCAACACACGTTGTTAGAAAAGCTTTTTCTCATACCATTCATCCATCCATCCGCCTGTCTTCCATGTGACAAAGTTCCACTGATGGTACGGGAGAAGAGCCCTTGTCTGGTGGACCTTCTAGCACATTCTTGCTCTCCCTTCAGACCTGATGTACATCCTGTGGCTGTTCTTCGTGGTGCTGGCCTGGAACTGGAACTGCTGGCTGATCCCCGTGCGCTGGGCCTTCCCCTACCAGACGCCGGACAACATCCACCTGTGGCTGCTGATGGACTACCTGTGTGACCTCATCTACTTCCTGGACATCACCGTCTTCCAGATGCGCCTGCAGTTTGTCAGAGGCGGGGACATCATTGTAAGTCACGTCCAGGCAGCGGGGCGGGGGTGGGGGTGGGGGGAGGTATAGACCTCTGGAGCTGTGACAATATCAGTGAGTGGGGATATTGCAAAAGGAGTTTCTTTGTGGCTTATTTTTGTCTTACATCTTCCTGTTCAAATCACACACATAAAATACAGTCACAAATGAACTGGCTTTGGGAATTACCTGAGAGAATGAAAGATAGGAAAGTGGTCCAGAGACTGGCCTTTAACACAGGGGTACCTGGTTCAGATCTCAGCTGCACACTCAGTTGAATGAGACTTCTCTGAGCCTCGGTTTGCCTATCTGTAGAGTGGGGGTCGGTAGGGTTCCCCACACTGTGCAGCCTTGCTGTGAGAACCAACATGGGATGTTGGTGGCTGCTCAGCTCAGCTGCCCAGCTGTATGTAGACAGGTGAGGAAGCCTCTAAAATGACTTAGAGGAAAGAGGATTCTTTGGCCAGCCTTGGTCCTGGCCTGATAGAAGTGTGGCCCCAGTGGCCTGTGGTCCAGAGAGGAGCTGCGTGCTGAGCGTTAGCATAGTGCCCTGCAAGACGTGAGCATCTAGATAGCTGGTGACCAGGTACCTTCGTGGGTGGACTGTGACTCTGGTGGGAAGGGGATTCTGCAAGGAATTTCATCATGGTTCTCCTAGGCCAGGCTCGAACACATTCACCACCATTCTTCCATTCCTTCCAGATGGACAAGAAGGAGATGCGGAATAACTACCGGAAGTCTCGCCGGTTTAGGGTATGTGCTGGATATGTGGGTGTCACACCTCTGGGGAAGTTGGGGGGTCTAGAGGGGCCCATGTGATATGATGCTTATATATGAAGGAATGTTGGGCTAACTCCCTGGGGCTGCCCTCCAGCCTCCAAGTCCCCGCAGGTGGTGTGGCCCTCAGAGGCCACTGCTGTGTGTCACCTCAGTTTCCCCTGTGGGCCACACAAGGCCGTGTTGGTGGGATGCCTTGTCTGAGGTCTCCTGGGGCATCCAGTTTTCCATGGAAGGTGCCCTCCCCCATCCTTCCCGCCTCTCCCCCTCAACCATGGGGTTCTGGTGGTGACACACTGTGGTGTCCCATGGGGATTTCAGATGGATCTGTTGTCCCTGCTGCCCTTGGATTTTCTGTACTTGAAGTTTGGCGTGAACCCCCTCCTTCGCCTGCCTCGCTGTTTGAAGGTAAGGGGGATGTGGGGCACAATGTCCCCAGTGGGTGGTTCCATGCATTAGTGGGAGTTTCTGGGGTATGTACCTCAGGCTTGTTGACACACAGGGGCTGTTGTCACCTAGTAGGCCCTGGCCTCCATCCCTAGCCCTGGGGGAAAAAAGGTGGGAGGGGGGACAACTCCTACTTCCAAAGTAAATAAGGAATAAGGTAATTACATAAAGTGACCATCGTATGGGAGGAGCTTGGGAAAGAAGAGTAATTATTAGTATACTTTTATTATCAGGAGTAAGACTTTGAAGGGCACAAGGGAGAAGCATTAGGGCTGCTGTTTCTCTAGAACATGTGTTTATTTTAATTTCAATTAGTTAATTAACTTCTTTATTTATCTAAATAAACATTCAAAACAAGGCCTGGGACCCAGGTACCACTGAAAGCTTCGTGACAGTATTGGGAAGGTCTCAGGGTCTCCAGGCTCTGCAAACTGAAGCCATCACGTGCGTGTCATTTCTGAGGAGCCGTCAGAGGAGTGTCCATGTCCCCCTCCCACCTCTTCCCTCCAAGGGCTGAGGGCCTCCGGTTTGAGCAGTCATTGTCCAGCTGCTGCCCCCTAGGGAGGAAGGGCTTTAGTCCTGCCATGGTTAGGACCAGCTGGGAAGTTGAGGGCAGCGCCACCCACAGACGAGGCTACCCCTGATGCCTTCCTCTTCCTCCAGTACATGGCCTTCTTTGAGTTTAACAACCGTCTGGAAGCCATCCTCAGCAAAGCCTATGTTTACAGGTAAGACAGAACCCTCCACCACCTCCCCTGCCATGTATACACATGTGTGCATAGCCCCCCCCCCACATACACACACATGCACACACAACACAACAGCATCCAGCATTTTCCACCCCCTGGCCTCCCCTTCTGGCTCCCCTGCCTCTACCACCGGAAGCCGGGCCTATTCCTAGCCAGGATGTTTGTTTTCAGAGAACCAGAAGGTCCTGTTTCCCCCCATTGTAAGAGGACACAGGCAACTTGACCTGAATTGCTCCCAGCATTGGTGTCAGCCCAGAGAGCTGACAATCCTAACAGGGGAGGGGGGGGTCTGTAAGAACACAGAGGCCACACTCAGGAAACAGGCTCCTTGTGCCTCTCCTCTGGCCCAGTGGCCTCAGTGTCATCTCCCTGCATGGAGCTCTCTCCCAGCTGCGCCCCTCACCACAGGCATTCGTCCACAGGGGCAGCTCAGCTATCCCAGGCCTAGTCCACCCTGACTCCTGACAATATTTTGATCAAATACTACTATCTCTAACTAGCACAACCTGAAGTATAAAGAGCATCTGGGGGCAGGGCATGGTGGCCCACACCTATAATCTCAGCTACTCAGGAGCTACAGCTGGATTTTGGTTTGAAGCCACCCTGAGCAAAAGTTAGCGAGACCCTATCTAGTTGTTCACACTTGTAATCCCAAGTACATAGGGAACACTAGTAAGAAGATGGAAACCCAAGGCCAGCCAATGATCAAGATCCTATATGAGGGATTGGAGGTGAGACTCAGTGGGTAGAGTGGCAGCCAATGAGCAAAGTGTCAGGTACCGAGTTCAAGTCTTAATCTCAGAACAAAAAAATCCGATATGAAAAATAGCTAAAGCAAAACAGTAGAGTCGTGGCTCGAGTGGTAGAATGTCTGTCTACCAAAGGTGAAGTCCTGAGTTCAAACCTCACTACTGCCAAAAAACAAAAGGCACCTGCTAAGGCCTTTCTAGTCCTTCCTTAGTTCCACTAGCTGGGTGTCTACCCCCCTGGGAGGCTGGGCAGAACTACACAGCTCCAGCAGGGGAAAGCTGTGAGTGGCTGGTCTCACAGTCCTTCCCCTGGGGTGAGCCATCCTAACAAGGCCTCTCACCACTGCCTTTGTACTCCGCCCCCTCCCAGGGTCATCAGAACCACCGCCTACTTGCTGTACAGCTTGCACCTGAACTCCTGTCTTTACTACTGGGCATCAGCCTACCAGGGCATTGGCTCCACTCACTGGGTGTACGATGGTGTGGGAAACAGGTGAGCTGGCCGGATGCTCTTGTGTGCCATATGCCAGGGCTGAAAGGGTCCTGGGGAGGAATCTCAGTTGCCAAGGCAACTTTGCTCCAAAGGAGTTGCTGACACATTAAGGTTCAAGGGCTTGGTCTCCACATCTTCCTATGCTAAATTTCCCGAGCCTATGCTATTTGCCACACAGCAGGTTCATCCCTGAAGGAGACCTGCTAGAAAAATCCATTCCACACCCCAAAGTCTAGAAAGCATGGCAAGTACACTGTCCAAAGTGGTGAGGGGACAAAGGTTTACATTTTTCAGGTGTCCTTGAGCCATGATGAAATGGGTGGCTACCAAAGCTATGGCTAGAAAAGTTTAATGATGAAGTTGGGTGAGGTTATTCACATCTGTAACCTCAGACCTTGGGAAGGAGAGGCAAGAAAAAACATTGAGTTAGAGACCAGCCTGGAGGGCTGGGAAGGTGGCTCAGTGGTAGAGCACTTGCCTTGCATGCATGAGGCCCTGGGTTCGATTCCTCAGCACCACATAAGCAAAAAGAAAAAAGCTGGAAGTGGCGCTGTGGCTCAAGTGGTAGAGCGCTAGCCTTGAGCTGAAGAGCTGAGGGACAGCACCCAGGCCCAGAGTTCAGGCTCACTACTGGACCCCCCTGAAAAAGAAAAAGAGACCAGCCTGGACTATATAGCAAAATCCTATCCTCCCCCCCCCAAAAAAAAGCTATCGGTGACAAAAATCTATATAATAAGACATTCTTTTTTTTCCAGATTGGTACCTTTTTTCAGATTTCTAAAATTAGAACGTATGTTATAATCCATGTGCACGTTTAAGTTAATACCTAGTTTTCATTTTTTGATGGTACTGGCATTTGAACTCTGCAACTCAGCCTTGTACTTGCTAGGTAGGAGCTCTACTACTTGAACCATGCCCACAGTCCCAGTTATAGTTCCAGAAGAGTCTCACAGTTTTTTGCATGGGGCTGGCCTTGAACTGATCTTCCTATAGCCTTTGTAGCTAGGGCCACTATACCTGGCTAATTTTTTTCCCTAATTGTTTTTTGAAACTGCAATCCTTCTAATTTCCACCTCCAAGGAGCTGGGTGTAAGCCACTATCTGGCTTTAATACTTACTTTTGTAAGTAAGGGCCCCTCAATCCCCTTCAAGGACATGCCCCAATGACGGGAGGACTTCCTATGAGGATCCACCTGGGGGCCAAGGCTTTAACACAAGGGCCTTTGAAGGACATTTCAGGTCCCAACCACAGCATCACTTCAAGTGGGCCTGGGCTGTCCCTACTAGTGACATAAAGTGCCTGGACCACCTGTCCACACTCTGTCTACCTCCAAGTGCTTGCTTCCAGCTGCATGGGAGACAATGCATCCTTCACAGCCAAGGTGACTTTCTTTTCGGAGTGGTCATTCACCAGAATGGCCCCTTCTCAGGACCAATGCCCAGCCCGGCCACATGGCCACAGCTATCACTTCTGTACTGGGCCTGCAGCCTAAGGGAACTTATGTAAAGGACACACATATGGAGATATCCCCGGGATCTGTAGATCCCAGGCAGGCATGAGGTGAGTTCCTGACATCTACAGCAGGTGGAAGCTGTCTGGGATGGGGCCAGTGTCTAATACTTCTCATCACCAATGTTCTGTTCCCTGTTCCCCTCTACTGAATCCATCCCAATTCCTGATCCCTGGCTTTTCTAGACTATCCACCCATCTGTCCATCCATCCACTCATGCACTCATCATCCATCCATCCATCCATCCATCCATCCATCTATCCATCCATCCATCCACCCACCCACCTGTCCATCCATCCATCCACCCACCCACCTGTCCATCATCCATCCTTCATCCATCATCCATCCGTACATCCATCTATCTGTTCATTATCCATCCATCCATCCATCCATCCATCCATCCATCCATCCATCCATCCGCCTATCCACTCATCCACTGAGCCCCTCACATGATAGCAGAGAGGATATAAAGTCCCTTCTACGTGAAGGGCTGAGCACCAGTTCCGTGTCAAATCTACCCTGTTGAGCTTGGTGGAGAACTTATTCTTTTGAGACTCAGTTTTCTCTTCTACAAAGTAGGGGATAACACCACATTCAGGATTCTTTGTCAGGAGGGAGAGGGACTGAGACACAGTTTCACTGTGTAGCCCAGGCTGGTGTTGAATTTGAAATCCTCCTGCCTTACCTTAGCCTCCTGAATGCTAGGACGACAGGCACTTCACATTCAAGATAAGCTTTCCAGTGTGTGCCTAGACACTGGCCAGTCCTCTCCCCTCCCACCAGCTGTGGATATGGTGTAGCCAGCAAGGCAGGCAAGGGTTATTATTTGGTAGCCAGCATGCCAGAGAAGGGCTTCATAACCTCTGGTCCAGAAATTTCAACATCCGGTAGTGCGAAATTTAGAAAATGTAGTTCTTTTTCAAAAGTTGTGTTTTTTTTTATTTTGCTTTAAGTGGTACTTGGGTTTGAATTCAGGGCTTTGAGCTTGCTAGGCAGGTGTTCTACCACTTGAGCCATGTCCCTAGTCCTTTTTGTTTTAGGTTATTTTTCAGATAAGGTCTCAAGCTTTTTGCCTAGGTCAGCCTCCAACTGCAATCCTCCTATCTATCCTATGCCTCCAGCACAGCAGAGACCATTGGTACATACTACCATACCTGGAATGACACTGGCTGTGTGTGTGTGTGTGTGTGTGTGTGTGTGTGTGTGTGTGTGTTGTGGGGCTTGAACTCTGGCTTGGGTGCTGTCCGTGTGCGCTTCAGCTCAAGGCAAGCGCTCTACCGCTTGAGCCACAGCACCACTTCTGGTTTATTGGTTTAGTGGTTTATTGGAGATAAGGGTCTCACAGAGTTTCCTGCCCGGGCTGGCTTTGAACCATGATCCTCAGATCTCAGCATCCTGAGTAGCTAGGATTACAGGCATGAGCCACCGGTGCCCGGCTACTGGCTTATTTTTAAACTACAATTCTCCCCAGTTTCCATCTCACAATTAGCTGGGATTACAGGTGGGAGTCATCACACTTGGCCAAAGAATTTAGCTTTTCAAAGGGCCAGTTCCTGGTTTTGCTTCAATTCTCATGGGGATTCACATCCAGGTACTCTAAGAACCTGCTTTCCTGGATAGCGACAGGGCTGGCAGCCCTGGGGAAAGCTGACAAGGAGGGAGGGGAAGGAGGATGGAGCTGCACTCTGGGCTCATCTTGGGAGTTCTAGGTGCTTTGCCTTGGGAAGGGCACACCTCACTGGCAGCAGCCTTCTTCCCCTATTGTTCATCAATGAAGTATAAACAGGGAGAGGAAATACCTCAACAGAGCTGAGAGTGCAAGTAATAACTTTAAAATGAATGACCATTGCTTGTTGGGTGCTTGCTGTGGGCCTCAGTTTCTGCAAATGCTGCAAACTCTTCAGCTTTGACTTTGCCTGGCCTGAAGCATGTAGGGAGGAACTCACAGGTGCAGCACTCTAAGGGGACTCTAAGGTGGGCCACCCAGTACAACAGTCCTCCAACTAGGAGTGGTAAAGGGAAGCCAGCGTTTGAGGACACAGCTCCTATGCTTTCTCTGTTCATGGCCTTGCTATAGTCCAGTCCTGCTGTGAGCCCGTGGCTCACCCCTTTCATCCTAGCTAAGCAAGAAGCTAAGATCTGGAGGACTGAGGTTAGAAGCCAATCTGGGCAGAAATGTCCCTGAGATTTGATCTTCAAAATAACTAGTAAAAAGTAGGTGTGTGGCTCAAAGCACCCACTAAGAAAGCAAGCTGAACAAGTATGAGGCCTTGAGTTCAAATCCCAGTTCAAACCCCAGTTCAATGCCTCAAACACACAAACACCTAGACTCCCATGCCCCGTCCAATGGTTAGGAAGATCAAAGACGGCTCTGTTCAGCTAAAGGTTATTCTCTACGCCCTCTGCTGGCCAGAAGCAGTATGACAGGGACCTGACCATCAGGCTGGCCTGTTGTCCTGCAATGTCCAGGCAACAGATGACCCTCAGGTGTAGGAAGGCCGATAGCCCTGACCAAAGCCTTGTATGCAGAGCCCCCCACCCCAGCCTCTAACAACTGCTTCTTCTGGGGCACTCAGTGCACATCTCCTTCCTGTCCCCATAGACCCCCAATCTTCCTGAGGACATAGGCCAGGCTGTTCACTGCAAGTACACGGAAGGCAACTGGCTCTGTCCTAGCAACTCCTGCTTTTCTTCCAGTCACTTGTGGAGGGCATTCCACTTAATTCCTTATTAGAGGAGAAGGCTTAGAATAGTGGAGAAATGGGTCCAGGCTATGTAGTTAGACAGTGACTTTGATCCCAGGCAGCCTGGCTATAGGGCCCAAATGCATAGTTATCTGGTAGATGGAGCCCAGGAAGGCCAGGAAAGCTGACCATCACTGCCTGGCTGCCCTCCTGCTTTGCTGACTGCTGGGAGGGCTGACAGTGTGGACAGCGGTTCAAGGAGCTTTGTGATCATCAGCCACTGGAGGACCCTATTATCCATACTTCCTGTTCTGTTGGATTACCAGTCTGTGTTGGTAACTAATTGATAGTAATAAGACATCTCAGAGAATCAGTGTCCAACATTCCTGTTCCAGCTCCAGGACTTGCCAGCTGGTTCCCTTTGCCTTCAGGAGCCACAGTTTCACTATCTGGAAAATGGATGGGGAAGGGGAGCATCAGAAAAGATGGGCCTAGGTTTGAACTTGTGGTAGATCACCTACCTAGTAAGCACAAAGCTCCAAGTTCAAACTCCAGTAGTACTGAGAGCGAGAGACAGAGACAGAGACAGAGAGAAACAAAGAGAGGGCCAGAAGGTTATCTTCAAGATATAGTTGTCCCTCAGTATTCATGAATATTGGCTCTATGATCCCAGGGGATAACAAAATCTATGGATGCCCAAGCCCTTTTATGAAGTGCAAATACACACACACACACACACACACACACACACACACACACACCACAACACACACACACACACACACACACACACACACACACACAC